GACGTCATTGCCAAATGCAGGAGCATTCCCGAGGGACTGGAGAGCAGACACCAACTGAGTGGCGTAGTCAAGGAGGTGGGTGGAGGTAAAGTCAGTGACAGCAGGGCGCGCGGCAGGGGGCAGCAGAGCAAGCAGTAGGCGCGCAGCAGGGCGTTGCAGGGCGCGCTGTAGGCAGGCGGCAGGGCATGCCAAAAATGCGCAGCAGGGAGCGAGGAAGGGCGCGTGGCAGGCACGTAGCAGGGCACGTAACAGGGGGCGCACGGCGGGCGCGGCAGGGCGTGCGCCAAGTGCACAACATCAGCTGCAGTGAGTGGCGGCAGCGACAGGCGTGCGGCAGCAGCAGTGGCAGGTGCGTGGCAGCGACAGGCACGCGGAAGCGGTAGGGGGAGGCGCGCGGTAGCGGCAGCATCAGGGGCCGACGGGGCCTACGGGGCGCTAGGGGGGGGCGCGAGCGCTAGGGCTCTAGGGGGGCGCGTGTGCTAGGGTGCTAAGGGGGCTGCGGGTGCAAGGGTGCTATTGGAGGCGTGACGGGGCCGCTTAGCAGGTATGTAGGCGTTGGAGGAAGCGCATGACCTAACCTAAATGCGTGATACCATGTTAACCAGTGACATAATAACTAAAATGGGGAATACATGGGGTTACGAGTAGCAAACCATACCCTCAATAGTAGAACCCAACCCATACTAACGTCGTACACGTACAAATGTATAAGTGTACATTGACAGGGGGATTCTTACAGGGACATGCCGGAGTAAAATACCCTTGGTCATAATTAAGTACCAGATAACTTATGCGCAAGAAGGGGAGGGCAGATGCGTGAGGTGACCCATTATCTGGGGGAGATTACTGCTTAGAGTCGTCTTACAACGGGAGGAGGCTGCGGACTGAACGGGGTGATCGTAGTGCAAGTTCGTTGTACTTGTAGGCAAGTTGAGAAGAGTTTCAGAACAAAAACAAAACATGATAAACAAGCATACAATGAAAGGCAAAGTCGATATTACAAGGGAGGCATTGCAACACACTTGCAGCAAGGCGACTTGCCAACGCAGCATGAAGTCGGCTTGCCAGCGCTGGAGCTTACGATATGCCGTGCAACTGTAGAAAACTTGAAAGCTGACATGCTCCTAAGCCATGTTGTGAGGACATGAGGATCGTAGGTTCCTCATCAAGCCTTACAAGATGGCGAGACGCATTACAACTGACGTGTTATGATGAACATTGTATGCACATTCATACAATGAATACACATAGTGACTAGACAGTTGGCATTTTCTTCTACAATGTGGAAAGATACGCGGTTACATCACTTACCAAACATGTGAAAACACGCGTCACACAATATACCGCGTACAGGAATATTCCCGCCACCACGACCCTCGTGCCCAAACCACCCAGCTTGGCTGGTAACCCGCAACCCGGTCTTACGCGTCGACATTTCCAGTTCGCTCATGCCTTAGCTAGTTGTATTGTTTTGCTTAGATTGTGCAATTTTCGCTCTCTCACTCAATTGCACTCGAAACAATGGACCTCATAACGCATATACGCGATAAAGGATGCCGCCCATTCTCAGAAGGGTGTGGGTCTGGAAGTCGGGGTTAGGGTAAGGCCTAGTGGTGATGCGCTGCAACATTCTGATAACGATTTTGCTGAAGGATCTGATCAGTATCTCTTCTCACGCTAGCAGACGGAGTTGTTCTTGCCGAGCCCAACAAAGTCCCGCGCCCGACCGAAGCAGTGTGCAACTTCCGACTGACTGACAGCAGGGGTAAGATAGGGCTCACATAGGGGCACCTTGCAACAAGTTTGTTGTATGACCCACCCTCACCCACTTATTTGAGACTCCATCCAATTGCGGAAGGTGCGCAGCATACCCAAAATCTCCAAGGTTTTTGGTTTCCATTTTGCGAATGGAGGGGCTAGAACTTTGCTGACACAGTTCCGCGTGTCCTTTCATCGAGAATTTACGAGGTTCATGTTTAGGACTTCGACATCAAAATTGGTGCAGATGAGCAAGGTTGGGTTGCAGACATCCGTGTCAACGAAGGAAGGGGTGTGAAGGCAACCCTGGGTGGGCAAATACTTATGCAGAGAGGAAATGATGTCGATGTTGTGAGGCAAGCTACACAGCGCGGTACAATCGTTGCAGCCCTTCTTATCAAGGTAGCTACAACAAAGTCACAAAAACAGGCTACACATAAACTTCGGCCGTTAGACAATTCCGCTTGGACACGAATCGCACACTGTATACGTACAGAATCGATCGAAAAAAGCTGCCTAATTTTATTTCACAAATCAGCTTTATCCCACAAACGACAGTCCTACGTAGTTTGTCCTGGACGCGTCAGCTATGGCCCACACAGCTAAGTCGTAACGGCGAATCGCGAAATCAACGGATCTCCTCCTTGACTGTTGGTGAGATGAATGGATATCTCATTTTAAGGACCTTGCTTGGCGTTTAAGCTAGCGGAGACCGTGTGTATCTAAAACAGCTGCCCAGTTGAGAGGTGATTTTGGCGGTACAGTAGATAGACGGTGGTACAGCGCAACTATGCCGAATCCACGAGTGATGTGTGTCCTCCTTCAGCCGAAGCTTCCGGTGCAAAACGTTCCTGTTTTGTCACAGAACGTTCATGCGCAGGCGGATTTCCGTAGTCATTGTCGCCGCAGTAACTTAGGAGGTGCCGAGGCCCTTTGCGGTACTATAATATATTCACTTTCCGTATCAATCAACCATTCTAATTACATTTTCTGTCAAAACCTGTTGACACCACCCAAGGACGTCATTTGAACAACGTCGCGACTCGCGACTACCATGTCTCCGAATAGCAGCCCCACTACAACCTCTCGCTCGAAGTCACCAGCTCCAATGGAAGCACACGCACACGCGAGCCTGAAAAAGCACATGATATCGGCCCTCGCCCGTTTTTCGCGCAAATCGGCTCAATCCCAGTCCTGCACCGAGCGCCCCAGCAAACCCTGGCCAGGCGTCGGAGACACACCCCTAACCCCTCGACAGACAAGCCAGAAGCCAGAGCGCGCCGAGTCAATGCTATCCTCTCCTCCAAAAGCTCCGAGGAGTCCTCGAAGGTTATCACCAACGAAGATCGTAACTTCACCCAAAGCAGCGCAACTCCCGGCCAGTCCTCCTGCGGGGAGCGTTCGCCCGCGGCCCGCTGCTCGCGCCGTGATACGGAAATCGAGCTCCAATGACAACATTCCTACTAGTTCAGGTGATCTACTGACAAGCGATTTCACGTTTCCCGGAGTCGGCGTTACCGAGTTCCCGCCCACAAGTCCCAGTCGGAGTCGCGGCGGTTTGCACCGTCGAGTCGCGTCGGCGGGTGTGGAGTCAAATTTGAATGAAGACTCCAGCGCATCGCTCCGGACCGTCGGTTCCGGTGTACGCGTCGCAAATCAAGGGCCAGCCGCTGCGGCGCTGCCGTTCGTTGCAAACGCGGAAAGTACGTCAAGAATATCGAGTGCCAGCTCAGGGAACAGGCCAACGCGGCAAACGATGCAGCGCGCGTCGCCAGTCGTATTTGATACGCTTTCACCTCCGTCCCCTAGGGCTGAACCTGTACAGAGGCGGCGCGTAACAAGCATGGATATGACCGTCTCAAGGCAGCTCCCCATGGCGTCGCCTCCCCGTATGCAACAGCAGCAGCAGAACCAGAGCCAAGTGGACTCTGCGAGATCGCGCAGCCCATCCCTTTCTCCACGCCATTCGGCGGTTGACGGTAACCCGACGTTTCGCTTCCGTCACCTCTCGCAAGCATCGCTGCTTGAGTACGAGTTCTCGCAACAATCGGTGCAAGAAACTGCTGGCGCATCCGACGCGCCCGACTCATGGATTCCGCTTGCCTCTCCGGTTGCGCGGTCACCTACTGGTCGCACCCCCGAGGTTACCACGAGCCCGCAGTCGTCGCGGAGCAGCCAGTGTGGAAGCCTTCCGCGTGCAAATCGGCGAAACACCAGCAGGCGCGAAACCAGCCCCACTTCGTCGAATTCTAAAGTTGTCGCCAACGCGTTCGCAAATGGTGTTGCTCCGCGCAGTAGTCAGGAGGCCAAGCGCAACCGCAACCCAGCCGCCCCTCGTGTACGCACAACAGGGTGTGCGTTGGCATTGGCGAAGACTAAACGAGTTACATTCATGAACTATGTTGAGGTTTTCGAATACATCTCTTAGATAGGTACTAGTATTAATTCAGATTCAATGACCATGAACTGCTAGGTGGCTTGAACTACAATCTTCACCAGCACAGTTGTAGTTACACATCTTTTGGAATCTCAATCCCCCTTTGCATTTTGCAACCAAGCATAACCAAACATAGTAATAAAATGTTTGTAAAACAGTTCTCTCAGCCCTTGCTATTGCAAGTTCCACCAAGAAGCTCAACTTCGAAATATTTGATGAACAGCAATCCCTGCTCAACATAAGGTGACCCGCCAGGCCAAGAGAGCAGCCCCTAGCGCAGCCTCCACCTGGAAAAACATAAAAAGATAAAATAAAAATAAAAATCAGAGAACACATTTCTGAATAAACAACATCTACGGTACCTTGTGCTCTTAAAAACAGCATGAGGGCCACAACCTGCCCAATCAGCGTACCTGGGGTGGCTTGACTACAGCAGAGGGCAGCAGCATGCGGATTTGGTGGTCAAACATGCGCGGGATGTTGGGCGGCGACCAATGACCATGAACTGCTAGGTGGCTTGAACTACAATCTTCACCAGCACAGTTGTAGTTGCACATCTTTTGGAATCTCAATCCCCCTTTGCATTTTGCAACCAAGCATAACCAAACATAGTAATAAAATGTTTGTAAAACAATTCTCTCAGCCCTTGCTATTGCAAGTTCCACCAAGAAGCTCAACTTCGAAATATTTGATGAACAGCAATCGCTGCTCAACATAAGGTGACCCGCCAGGCCAAGAGAGCAGCCCCTAACGCAGCCTCCACCTGGAAAAACATAAAAAGATAAAATAAAAATAACCTGCCCAATCAGCGTACCTGGGGTGGCTTGACTACAGCAGAGGGCAGCAGCATGCGGATTTGGTGGTCAAACATGCGCGGGATGTTGGGCGGCGAGCTGTCAGTGAGCACACCGCCTGCTGTGACTATAAGGAAGGGTTGGCGCGACTCTGCGGGTCACATGCAAGTGGTGCAAGAGTGGGGGAAATCATTTACGTGGTGTTTTAAAATTTGTTTTATTGGGTGACTGCGAGGGAGGGAGTGGAGGTGCGCTGTGGTGTGACATGATGGGCATGTGCATGGGCATGGGCATGGGATTGAACACAAGCAGAGCAGCCCAGAAATCACCAGTCAAAGCAATAGTAAGCCTGGGAGATCACTTTAAAGACACTTGAACCATCGAGCCTCACCTGGGAAAACCCTCACCTGGGAAAACCCTCACCTGGGAAAACCCTCACCTGGGAAAACCCTCACCTGGAAAAACCCTCACGTGGAAAAACCCTCACCTGGAAAAACCCTCACCGGGGAACCCGAGTCGGCAGGCAACAGCATAAAACTGCGACAGCTCACAATTTTTTGTCTTAGCAAGCGAGGGTTAAGCACACGAGCCCCACCTGGGAAGCCGAGTCGGCAGGCAACAGCATGAGCGGAGAGCGCCATCTCCTCCACTCCATCTGTGATGACAGCCATGGCTGCTGCATCGCCCGCTGATGCACATGTGCGCACACAGGGGAAGAGCGCTGCTATGCGCGCCCATGCCGGGTCCGAGTAGGCCCAACTGATGGGAAGAAGGGGGGGAATGGGGGGAAAGGGGGGGAAAGGGGAAGGAGGGGGAGAGGGAGAGGGGTGATAAGGGGGAAAGAGAAGACGTGGAGAGAGGGGGGACGAGGAGGGGGAACGGGTAGGGGAAGGGAGATGGGAAGGGGGATGGAAAAAGGGAGCAATTGAGGAGGAAGCGAGGGCTGGGGACAGGAGAGGTGTGAATCAGATAACAAAGAATCTCATGCAAATCATAGCTCACCAATACGTTTCTCGCACACCCCCTCTCCAACCAGCTCCCTCTCTCACCCAACCAGCTCCCTCTCTCACCCAACCAGCTCCCTCTCTCACCTGATAAGCTCGCTGGGACTGCCCAGCCCCGCATGCCCCAGCACAGCCTCTGTAAGAGCCGTGACGCGGCCGCGCCCGTCCCACGCACGCAGCACTGCCGCCAGCGCCTCACAGCTCATCGCATACCCGCTCCCCTTGTCCCCCAGCAACGGCCCTCCCCCTGACGCCCGCGCCTCCCTCCCGTCTGCTGCTATCCCATACGCGATCGTGCCTGTGCCAGAAATTACCACCACCCCGCCGCTCGACCCATCCACACTCCCTTCCGCCGCTGCTCCTCCGCTTCCTCCTCCCCCCGCTCCTCTCCTACTCTCTCCTCTCCCTCTGCGCCTGCTCTCCTCGATTTCGTCCGGGAGAGTGCCGGTGGCGGTGGTGGCAGCGGCAGCGGGAATGACCCCGAGAGTGGCACTGGCGAACGCGACTAGAGCGTCGTTGCGGATCAGCAGGCGGGAGGGCTGGAGGTGGGGGAATATGGGGCTGGAGGGGGTGGGCGGGTTCAGGAAAGGGGGAAAGGTGGGGGGTGGCAAGAAGGGGACAGGGTGGAGGGAAAGGAGTGTTGCGGGAGATGAGTTGGTAGAGGGAGTTGAAAGGAGGTGGTTGGGGTGGGGGGTTTACAGGAGGATTTCGCACAGGGTGTTTAGGTGGAAGCTGAAAGCATATACGTGTGGGTGGGTGGGGAGTGGGGGGAAGGGGAGCGGGAGGGGGAGAGGGGGGAGAAAGTGGGTGGTGGCAGGAAGGGGATAGGTGAGCGGGTGGAGGGAGGGGGATGTGCGGAGATGCGTTGGTGGGAGAGCTGAAGGAGTTGGTTGGATGAAGGGTTTACAGGACATTTCCACGAAGGGAGTCAAAAGGGATGCTGAGAGCAGATAAGTGTGTCTGGATGAGGTCTTATACACACCCATGAATGTATGTATGTATAAAGTTATAAGATATATCCCATGAATATATGTATATCACATGTTCAGTTTGTAGTATGTAATATTAATCGTCATGTATATGATGCATCAGCAACACATGAATGTAGAAAACCCCAAACCCACATAACCCCTTGAGACTGACTGCCCATTCCTCTTCCCCCTCCCCCCGACCCCCTCCCCCCTCCCCCTCCCCCTCCCCCCACCTGAGCCATGAGCGCACCAGCTGCATGTCCGCGGGTCTATCAACCCCCGCCATCCCCACACACACCCCCGCCACCTCCCCCGCTGCCACCCCCGCCGCCCCCAGCGCCCCCTCCATTGCTGCTTGCAGCGCACTGCGCGCACTGGCCTCTGGGAGAAGAGGGGAAGAGGGGAAGGGGGGAAGGGAGAAGGGGGAAGGGAGGAAGAAGGAAGGGAAGGGAACGTGAGAGGGAGGGGAGGGGGAAAAGCACATGGCTCCATCGTTCCTCAATCCGCCCTACCCCTCGGTATCCCCCCATTTACTTCGCGTATTCCCTCATTCCTTCATCAATATCCCCTACCCTCATCCCTCCCTTCGACCCCTCCCCCCCCCAAAGCCCCACCCCTTCCCCAACCCCATGCCTCCATACCCCCCACCATATCCGCTCCGCCTTACCGCCCACGCTGTTCTTATTCGAGCTTCCGCCGTTTCCGCGCCCCACCACGCAGTCGCGCGCACCATCTGCCGTCAGCTCCGCCGGTCCACCAGCTTCCGCCATGCCTTCCGCCAATTCTTCCGCCATTCCTTCCGCCTCCGCAGGCGCAGCGGCGTTTGCGCGCGAGAGGTCGAGGAGGACGGCGGAGGTGGAAGATGCGCCGCCGTCCACCCCCAGAAAAAGGGCGCGCGATCCCGCCGCCATGGGGGAAAGCGGATTACCCGTGTCGGAACGCGGAGAAAGGCGGAATTGGGGGGGATAGCGCGGACTTCGCTGCGAAAGAGGAGACGCGCGAGAGCGCGCTTCTGATTCGTACGAGCTACAGCATGCAATAAAGACGAAGGGCGATCAGATTCAAGAGTATGGACGAAAAGCGATACACCAAGGTCCCTGGTTCTTACGTGATGCCTGCACACAATTGGCAGTCACTTGGTGGGACATATGGGAAACTAAAACCGCTGCAGGTAGTTCCGCTGTTGGTACATCTGTTTGGATACTGTTGTGGAAAAAGCGCGGACAAATCTACACAGACTTTAGAAACTGTATAAGCATAGCAAATGATTTGTTGATGATTTGATTCCACAGGGATGCATTTCGCAAAACCAATGTCAGGACACAAAAATAAGACAAACAATCACAAACTGCTGCTACGTAGCAAAACTATTCTATCAAAACTAAAATGCCTAGGGGTCACCAGTCCTCTTGACCACTCCAAGCGACACCAGAGTCGAATCAAGCGAAGAGAGCGTCGCTAAATCGTCCTCCGCATACTCTGTAACCACCTCCACTCTCTTCCCAGCCTCCTTCCCCCTTCCAAACAAGCTTCCGAAGCTCGGGAACGCCATCGCCGGTAGTGAGGGAATGACAGGGAATGGCGAGGAGGAGCCCGGGGGTAGGAGGTCTTGAAGGAAGGCAAAGGTCTTTCGTAGGTCGGCCGGGGTGGCGGCGATGGGCGAGGAGAAATGGCATGGGATGATGCGGGTGAAGGCCCAATCGGATGTGATGCTGTTGATCCATGCTAGAGCCTGGGTGAAGGAGGGGAGATGAGGGATGTGACAGGTGAGGTTGGAAGGAGGTTGGTAAATAAGCTGGTTGCCAAAAGCGAGAATACCACCACAAACCCCCTTAAACAGCTGACGAGGCACTGTAAAGCATTTCTGCGACCTGCACCCAACACCTGACTCTCGCCGCACTCGACACGCTACCTACACCGAGACTAGCATACACACCAGGCAAACAGCAGTACCCCAAACCCCCTTTGATACCTGCGCAGGGACTTTGTCAAAGACGAGTGTCTTGACGACGGGAGAGACCACGAGCTTGCCACAGATGCGCTCAAAGGACTCCTCGGGCTCCAGCAGGTTGCCCGGGCCAAAGAAGAGGATCTGCAGCACCATGCGCTGCCACCCTGTTGGGGGGGGGGGGTGCGGGGGGAGGAGAGGGAATTTAGAGTCGGCTCAACCAAGGACTGACTCCTCGGGCTCCAGCAGGTTGCCCGGGCCAAAGAAGAGGATCTGCAGCACCATGCGCTGCCACCCTGTTGTGGGAAGAGGTAGAAGAGGAGGTAGGGGTAGGGGTAGGAGTAGGGGTAGGAGTAGGGGTAGGAGTAGGGGTAGGAGTAGGGGTAGGAGAAGGGTTAGAGGTAGGGGTAGGGGTATGGGTAAGGGTACGGGTAGGGGCAGGGGTAGGAAACAGGGGCTTAACACAAGGGAAGTGTAAGGTGGGTGATCGGAATATGGGCGTGGGTAGTCTGCAGCATTTCACACTGCCATGCTGACACAACTTGTCGCTTTTGCAGCAACCGTCAACTGTGCTACAAAGCACTCCTCCATCCACCCTACCCACACCAACGTCAACTCCTCCCCAACGCCCTAAACTCCTCTGTACCTCCCACTTTGGCATCTAGTATCTCCCGCTCTGGAACAGCACTCGGACCTAGTAGCACCACCAGTGCTCCTCCCCTTAACCAACCCACCTCTCCACAGCCCACCAACCAACAAAACCCAGCCCAACCGAGCCCAGCCCAACCGAACCCAGCCCAACCACCACCCAACCCACCGAGAGTTCTGAACTCCTCTGTATCCTCCACCTCCACGTCCGGCACATCTCGCCCTGCGGAGAGTACGCGCACTGCCAGGCCGTTGCGCGCAGCGTCTAGCAGCGCATCAGGACGCACCACCTGGGGAGGCTCCCTGGGTACCACGATCACAGCGTCTGTGAGCAGTAGCGTGCGCGAGGGGCGGTGGAAGAATGCAATCTCCACGTATGGGCCGATGCCTGGGGGGATATGGAAGGGAAGGGGTGGAGAGGAGAGGTGAGTTTTGAGTCAAGTGAAATGAGGGACGGAAGAATGCAATCTCCACGTATGGGCCGATGCCTGGAGGGAGGGGCGGTGGGGGATTGGGGCGGGGGAATGAGGACTGAGAGAGAGGTGAGTTTTCCAACGACTCACAAAAAGGTGCTGGTGGAATGAGACGATCTCCACGAATGGGCGTATGCCTAGGGCTGGGGGAGATGGCGGATGAGGTTCAGGAAAGAGGAGGTGAGTTATGAATTCACTCAAAAGAGTGGTGGTGATAAAAGGCAAATATTTGCGTACGGGTGTACGGCTGAAGGGCAGATGGGGGAGAAAACAGGGGGAGATGGGGAAGAAAATTGAGGAGAGGTGGGGATGAAGGGAGGTGGGTGGCGAAGACAGGGAAAGAGCGTGGGATAGAATGGGTTAGGGCGGGGTGGGCGGATGAGGGAGGAAGGGCGCGGGGAAGACAGAAATGATCCTGAAGAGTGGCAAGGGGGAGGTCACTTGGTCATTTCGACCAGACTGGCTGACAAGCGCTAACGCTAACGCAACGCTCCCAGGAAGGCAGCTCTCCTCCATCCACCCGTACCCACGTCAGTGCACACAACAACCTCCTAGTCAGCTTATGCGGTAACTTTCAAACCGACTCCACTTTGGCAGGGGAGAAAGGTCACTTTGTTATCTTCATCCATCATACTGCCTGGCGAACACTGTTGCAACTCGTTCAGCTCTCCTTCATCCATCTAATACCCAGACACATACCAGCTTCAGCAGACACAACAATCTTCTAGTTAACCTCCAACCTCCAAGAGGTGACTACTACTGAGTCAACTCCACCACACCAACAACAAACAGAACGAACCCCTGCTGCCAATCCCGGCCAACTCTCCACCCACCCACACGTACCAACTTCAGGGGACGCAAAGATCTTATAATCGATCTCCTCAGGCCACTCGTCCGGCTTGGGCCCGTCCTCGGCCAAAACCGTCCCTCCGAAGAGCCCGAGGAAGGGCAGGGGGAGGTTGATTGGCCAGCTCCACTGGCGGGGCGCCACCCACGTGCGCGCCTTGGGGAATGCGCGCGCGAACGGGCCTGCGAAGACCTTGTGCTCGTACGCGAAGGTGGGCAGCACGATGTGCTCCACGGGGAGGTTCAAATCCTTGAGAAGCTGGTGGGGTGGTTGGGTTGAAAGGGATGGACGGAAGGGCGGATTTAGAGGCGCCTCAAAAGAATGCGCGTGCTAAGGGCCACGCTCTGCGGACACCTTGTGCTCGTAGCGAAGGTGGGTAGAACAATGTGCTCCACAGGGAGGTTCAGGTCCTTGAGAAGCTGTTGGGTGGTTGGGTGGAGGGTGCGGAGGGAGTGGGGAGGAGAGGGTTGGGAGAATGAGGGGAGAAGGGAGAGTGGAGAACGGAGTGTGAATGTTGTTGTTGCCTCTCCTGGTTTCTCTTCTTTCAACCGCTTTCACCATGGTATGGGGGCTAAACCTCAGCAGGATCTGTTGTCGCCTCAACCAGCAGCTCATCAACCCGTTACTCAAGAACGTTTGCCAATTTAAATCGCGGTGTAGCCTTCCGGTTGCCAATTTAAACCGCGGTTGGTTTTGAAATTTTTAGAAGCAGTTCGCAAGAGGACACTGCTCCTGCTAGTTTTAGTACTACTCGACGTGCTAGTTCCAGTGTTTATTCGCAGTGTTAGCGTACGTGTTAGTCCTAGTCTTAGCCATACCTTAAGGCACTCCGCAGTGGGGGCAATGGGTGCGTGGACGAAGAGACCGCCGGACTTGAGCTTGATAACCGTCATTCTGCGATGGAGACGGGAACATGGTCAGCCAGACGACACAGCAAAAGCAGAACACGTGAGAGAGTCCGAGAGAGCAGGAGGGGGCTTAGAAGATCGTTCGAGATTTCTCCAGGCGCCTTCGAGAGAGTCTACCCTTGAGAAAGGACCTTGGAGGGCAGGCAAAGCAGGAGAAGGCGGAACGCAGCGGACGCGAATGAATGCAGTTACATGTATGTAGTCACATGATTGTGGTCACATGCATGCAGACGTCACATGCGTCACATGTACATACTGCCACATCCACTCTGTACCCATCCCGTCCACCCGCCCCTATCCTACCCTTCCATTCCACACCATTTCAGAAGCTCCTCTGAAACCGAGTAAAAGATTGCACCAACCGCACCCCACACCGCCCTACGTGGTAGCAACGTACCTGACGTTAGTGGTGACGTTGCTGAAGCCCAGCCCTTGCTCCTGCTCGAAACACCAGATGCTGTTGCGGTCCACCTGGCAGGGGCGGAAGTGTTAAGAGTGGTTGAACGGGATGGAATGCGGGCGGGGTGGGTTGGATGGAGGTGGACCGTTATCGAGTGGGGGACAAGAGGGGCAGGCGGAAAGGGGGGAGCGGCGGCTTGGATTTATTACGGATCACGAGGGAATGCGGGTAAGCGAATGTAAGAGAGGTCATGTCATATATATACTATAATCGTGAGAACCGCGAAGAACTATACTTATCTGGAGTTCGTCTTAAACGCCAGAATCTAAAAACAGAAGGCTCTTCTCACCTCATACCGATACGTCTTGCGGCCGAGGAAGGGACGCAGCGGGAACGGGAACCCCGTGATGCTGACGTACCACTGCTGCCAGAACGACGAGCTCTCGTCTTCCTCCTCTTCCTCCACCACCTCCTCCTCCTCCTCAGCCTCCGCCGTCGCCTGCTGCAGCGACAAGCGCATCGTCCCGATCTGATCAAAGAACGAGTTTTTGCTCTTCTCCTCCTCTACCTTCTCCTCCTCCTGCTGCTGCTTGTCATCCTTAGGGTTAAACGACCAGCGCATCGTTCCCAGTTGTCCGAGAATCGTCTTGCTCTGCGGCTCTTCTTCTTCCTCTTCCACCACGACCTCCCGCTTCCAGGGAAGTTTAACTCCCAGAATTGACTTGCCTGGAGCCTCTTCTTCTTCCTCCTCTTCCACCACAGCCTCGCGCTTCCAGGGAAGTTTAACTCCCAAAATTGACTTTTCTTGAACCTCCTCCTCCTCGTCCTTTTTCTTCTCCCACGGCAGCTGAACTCCCCACTTTCCATCCTTCGCCGCTTGGCATGGAGCTAGAGAAGAGCGGCCGGAGGAGGGAGCAGCGGCACGGAGAATGGCGCTTTGGGGATTCGAGGCAATGCTGATGGGGACTGGGGATGTATTGGTGAGGGAGAGTGGTTGCCGCTGCGACTTTCCGCGTTTTACTTGCGCGGTCGCAGGCGCCAGAGCGGAGGCTCCAACGATAAATGTGGTGGAAGCCATTGTCGCTGCGGAGAAGTGATCAACAAACGGAAACGACTATTCCGTTGCAGGAGGACTAGCCGTTTCTGCTTTTCCCTGGACCAACCTTGAAAATAAATGTCTCGCCTTAGGAATAATGGCAAATTCTAGGGTGGTCGGCTCAGCGGGGCGTGGAAAGTTCGCCTCGCCAGCGTGGCAGTGATTGCTTGTGATTGTAACAAACGGACCACCAATATTCGTGGTTCGAGCTGGAAAAGCCGTTGACAAAGCACGAGCTTCCCAGGGGCGGGACCAGTGGTGAACGGAGCTGCTGGTGCGGAAGGGCTTCGGAAATGCCAGGTCATCCGAGATGTTGGATCCGAAGCTCATCGGCGAGATCCACGCGACCAATTGGCTCCCAAACGTTTGGTGAGCCCTTGACAGCACATCGTAGCTTCATATAGTGGTCCAAATTCGGGCTAGCGTGTTCCTACTGCAGCGTTTACGCTTTTGTAGGTGACGTGGCGACGGATACAACAACTTCTAGAACACGTCGTGTCGTGTCTTCCATAGCTGTGTTTCTCTACACCTCTGACCAGAATAGGGAGCGGCTCAGAATACCACAGTGATATACATGTTTCTTACAACCGTCCATAAGAGAAATCAGCTCAATTGCATAGTCAAATCCATATCACGTGCACCGATACCACCGTTTTCAGACAGGCCCATTATATCAGCAAATGCTTGCTTCTCCATGGTCATCAGAACACCTTCGTACCCTCCATTCTCCAATCCCCAGCCCCCACCAACACCATTTCCACTCACTAGACACAACCGGGACTTGGCCTCACACAGAGCTTCTTCGCCAACATGCCATACAAACCGGCAGGCGAGCGTGGCCCTATTTGTGCAATCAGCCAGGTCCTCATCTTCCATATCCTCCCCCTCATCATACTCCATCACCTCATCATCATCATCATCTCCCTCGTTATCTCCACCACCCTCATCTTCATCCCCTCCCGCACCACCCCACTCATCCTCACCCGCTCCATCACCATCCCCGGTCGTCCCAATCGTCATCATCTCAACATCCCCGCCAGCCTCTCCACCAGTCCCACAGCCTGCCAACGCATCAGCTCGTAACTCGGCCTGTAATGCCAATTCTCTCCGTGCCGTCTCATACCCCACCATGTACAGCGATGCGGCTTCATACAGCATATGCAGCGGGCGGAACGGCTGCTCAAAGGACCGCGTCCATCCTTGCTCAAGCTCCTGCCATTGATATTATGGTTGGCATCATGGTTGGCATCATGTTGTGTGTTGGTGATGACAAGGACGAACAAGGGAAAGCTGAAAGCTGCTTCGGAGGCATCTTCTCGAGAAAAAAAGGCGTCTCCATCCCTTGCCCTCCCCCCAACTCTCCCAACCCCTTTCTACCCTTACCTCCCTCCTCCATTTCCCTCCCCACCCTACCCTACTCACCCCCACTCCGCCCTCCACGCACCTGCTGAAACTTGTTCTCGATTGCAGCGAGCTTGGCTCTCCGAGCCCCTCCCAGCAGCGTGGTTCTCTGCCGCACCACGTCGCGCACCTGCACCTCGTACTGCCCCAGCAGCCCCTCCCACTGCCCCTCCCCCCCCCACGCTTCCCTGTTCTCCACCCCACTCCTCCCTACCACTCCTCCCTTCACGCACCTGTCGATACTCGTTCTCGATCGCAGCAGCAGGCGAAGTTTTCCGACCTTCAGCTGTAGTTTGAAAAGTGATTAGGTGTGTTTTCAGGTGTATTGTTAGCGTTCTCACACACACCTGCCGGAACTTGTTTTCAATCGCTGCAAGCTTGGCTCTCCGAGCCCCTCCCAGCAGCGTGGTTCTCTGCCGCACCACGTCGCGCACCTGCACCTCGTACTGCCCCAGCAGCCCCTCCCACTTGACCCGACTGGCAGCGCTGTTAGGGTCCTTGGAGGCGAGCAGGGCAATGCCCGCGTCTGGGGTAACCGCGCCTGCACGGGGGCACGGGGAGAGGGGAAGGGAGTGGAGGGGAGCGGGAGAGCAGGGGGAGCAACGGACGGCGCGGAGAGTGGGTGGATAGGGGTTCTAAATGGCGAGTATGAGTGGATTGGCGCACCACGTCGCGCACCTGCACCTCGTACTGCTCCAGCAGCCCCTCCCACTTCTCCCGACTGGCAGCGCTGTTGGGGTCCTTGGAGGCCAGCAGAGCAGTGCCCGCGTCTGGGGTCACGGCACCTGTGTAAGGTGGGGAGGGGATATGGGGGAGGGAGGGGGAGGCGAGGGGAGGAAACTTGTTATTGCAAGCCAACTGGATTTGGAAGGGGAGTGGGGGGCAGGCGACAGGTGGTGGTGAATTCTGAAGAAAGTCAGCATCACTCACTAGTGCCAGTTTTGCCACACACTTTCCATGCACCTGGTTGGTACGAGAAGGACTATCCACTCCCGTACTGCACGCAAACCATGAGGCACCTGGTCGGCTCGAAATCGTATGAATTCACGTGTGGACCATACGGTGGCTTCTAGGTCAATCCCCAACAATTGCATCAAGTCAGCTGCTTCCAGTATGCACGAGAGACCTAGAATACCTGAGTCTACCACGTGTTTGCGCCGCTCCTCCTGCACGGCGTCAAACATCTGCCCCATGAGGGACGTCGAATGGTAGCACGTGCACCAACCCACTTCCGGTACACACCCTCACCTGCATATGTGGTGGTGTGGGTACCTGAGTCTACCACATGTTTGCGCCGCTCCTCCTGCACGGCATCAAACATCTGCCCCATGAGCGATGTGGAGTGGTAGCAGGTGCGTGCCGAAGAGCGCATGAAGTGCGGGTAGCTCTCCACCTTGAACCGCCCCAGCCCCTCCACCTGAGGGCCACATGGGGGTGATGGGATTAGAGGATGGAGGATGAGCGATGTGGAGTGGTAGCAGGTGCGTGCCGAAGAGCGCATGAAGTGCGGGTAGCTCTCCACCTTGAAGCGCCCGAGACCTTCCACCTGAGCGACCAATGGGGATGGGAGAGATGGGGGCGAATAATTTGAGATACTGCCCGGAAAAGTCACAAGGATTGACATTGGATCAAGATGAACATTAGGAGACGTAGAGACATAGATGCAGCAGAGAAGCACCTGGGACGTTGAGATCTGACTTCAGAGCCCCGGCTTGGGGTGGGTTTCAGGTTTGAATGATAGACATGACAGCAGCAACATGGGTTTCGCACGGTGGAGGCCCAAGGTACGAAATGGGACGACAGAAAGGAAGGAAAGGGAGGGGAAGATTTTTGTTCCAGAGCGAGGCATGATGTTGGCTCACGGCTGCAGAGAATATTGGCATGCACACACACACACACACACATGCACACACACACACACACACACACACACACACACACACACACACACGCACACACACACACATATCACACCACCACACATCCTACACATCACGTATACAGCACACACATCACGTATACAGCACACACATCACACAGAGAAGCCAATCCACACACACATGCACTCAACCCCAACGTCTCTCTCCCACCTCCCCCCCCCCCCCACACACACACACCCACCACGTGGCCAGTCTTGGCGGAGTCAAGAGCAAGCTCGTAGAGTGCAGCGAGCTGCAAGCACTGGGGAGAGTCCGGGCCCAGAGGCGAGCGGTCCATGTGCGCTAGATGCAGGTTGCCCGCTGTGCCCATGTGGAAGCTGGTGAGGGGTGGTGGTGTGGGGGGGTTATGGGGATTGTTCAAACGGTCATGAAAGGGAGTGGCACGTAAGGGGCGAGTGGTCCATGTGTGCGAGATGCAGGTTGCCCGCCGTGCCCATGTGGAAGCTGGTGAGGGGTGGTGGTAAGGAGGCGAAAGAATATGAGGTTGTAAGAGAGTGGGGATTATAAATTGGTTATGAAGGCCCAGCGGTCCATGTGTGCTAGATGCAGGTTGCCCGCCGTGCCCATGTGGAAGCTGGTGAGGGGCGGTGGTAAGGAGGCGAAAGAATATGAGGTTGTAAGAGAGTGGGGATTAAACTGGTTATGAGGGCCCAGTGGTCCATGTGTGCTAGATGCAGGTTGCCCGCCGTGCCCATGTGGAAGCTGGCGGGATGAGGAGGGGTTACAGGATATATCGACGGAGGGTATGGAGGGGAAGGAGCTGATGGGGAGAGGGAGGGAGACTCGAATAGCATGCTCAAACTGTCACCCCCCCCCCCCCCCCCCCATCGATTTTAGGCAGAGTTACTCTCTGCTTCTCACCCCCTCACCCTCACCCTCCTCTCACCAGGTGCACAGCTCTCCCTCCCACCAGCAGCAGCAGCATCGTTAGTTGAGAATTCTCAAGAATCACTCATGAGAAATCTACGCAAGGGACAGCTCCGTCATGTAAACAAAGCAATGGAGACAAAGCAAACATTCCCACCCTCGCACCCATCCTGTCCCTCACGATCATCCCTCTCACCGGTTGTACAGCTCCCCATCCAGCCAGCAGCGGATGAGCGCTCTCTCCCGCACAGCAGGGTCGCACGGGAGTGGGGGGAGAGGCTCCGAGGCCGATGGGCAAGCAGGCGGCAGGGGACGCTCGTGAAAGGCGCTGACAATCTGAGGGGGAATGGGAGGTGGAGTGGAAGTGATGGGAGGTTGCAGCATAGTACGGTGGGGGTGGGGGGAGGGTTTCCGAGACGGATGGGCAGGCAGGCGGCAAGGGACGCTCGTGAAAGGAACTGACGATCTGAGGGGGAATGGGAGGCGGATGGGAGGTGGATGGGAGGTGGATGGGAGGTGGATGGGAGGTGGATGGGAGGTGGATGGGAGGTGGATGGGAGGTGGATGGGACATTCTGAGACGTCTCAAAACTCGCACAGCAGCAGGGTCGCATGGGAGTGGGGGAAGGAGCTCCGAGACGGATGGGCACGCAGGTGGCAAAGGGCGCTCGTGAAAGGCGCTGACGATCTGAGGGGGAAATGGGAGGTGGATGGGCAGTGATGTGCGAAGGATGGGAGCGATGGGAAGGACGGGAGAGATGGGACGGATGGGATGGATGGGAAGGACAATGCGAAACAGAATTAATATGATGTAACAGCCATATCCCCAGCTCCATTCACCCCCCTCTCTCCGGGTTCCTCGTCCATCCTCCCCAGTTTCCCCATTTTCTCTTCTCCCCACCACAACACCACCCAACCCTCACCTGGGGGTGCATGATAACGAGGAACCTGTCTCCATCAAGTTCCCCCCCGCCCATGCAGTCCGTGACAGAGCGCTGCCCGCGCGTGGAGAAGAGTACACAGAAGCGGGAGGAGCGCGGCAGCAGGGAGAGCAGCGCGGTGCAAGAGCCTGCCTCACTCTCCCTTGCGCCGTCCTCTCGTTTCCCATTTCCCTCTCACTCCCCAACCACCTTCAACCCCCCTTCTCTGCTCTGCCATTTCCTCTCCCCTCCCCTCCATGCCGAAATGATTTTTAGGCGCCTAAACAAAAACAAAATAGCAAAACAAAACCTCACCTGGGGGTGCATGATGACAAGGAACCTGTCTCCATCAAGGTCCCCCCCGCCCATGCAGTCCGTGACAGAGCGCTGCCCCCGCGTGGAGAAGAGAACACAGAAGCGGGAGGAGCGCGGCAGCAGGGAGAGCACGGCGGGCGAGTGCACGGCGGAGAGGCGGCGGATGTTGCTCACGAGGAGAGAGGGCGGGCGGTACACCAGACACGGGCCTGACACTGGGCCGTCATGGCTGGGAGGAGGGGAGTGGGGAGATGGATGGTGAGTTGGGAAGGAAGAGGTGTTTGGTTGACTCAAAAAGACCCACCTGGCCAGTGCACCTGGCATGAAGCTGACACTGGGCCGCTTTGGCTGCGGCCGGAAACGCGAGGGGGAGGGGGGAAGAGGAGAGCATGGGTGGAGAATGGTGGGCAGCAGGGAGAGCACGGCGGAGAGGCGGCGGATGTTGCTCACGAGGAGAGACGACGGGCAGTACACCAGACACGGGCCTGACACCAGGCCGTCGTGGCTGAAGGGGGAGAAAATAAAATCTTATGAATGTGAGGGGGATAGGGGGATGACAAAAGGGCAGGGAAAACGAAGAAGGTGAGGTGCTTTGCGTTGTCGTCATAACCATCATCCATTGAGGTACTTCACGCCGTGGACATGGTGTTTTTGAGAATTCTCAAAAACACCCTGCAGCATCCCTTGGACACTACCAAAAGCACAACCACGTTCTTTCTTCCAGTTGCAAGCATTCTACACTTGTAGTAAACAACAATACGTGTAGCGCACTCACTCACAGGCGCTCTTTACAGTATGAAGGAAAAACAAACGCCTACCATATGTGTATCACACTCACAGGAGTACAACAATCTCATTGGGTGCGAGCGTGTTGGAGGGATCTGCCACCCCCATGAGGCAGTAGCAGTGCGGCACCTCCACCTTGCCACTCGCTAGACCCTGATGGGAGGCGAGGAGTGGATGAGAGGGGAGGAGAGAAGGGGAACAGAGGAGTGACATGGGGGGTCGTTAAGAGCCACCCCCATGAGGTAGTAGCAGTGCGGCACCTCCACCTTGCCACTCGCTAGACCCTGAATAGAGGCGAGGAGGGGGAAGAAGAGGAGAGAGGACGGGACGGGAGGACACGTAACAGGACTGAGGAGAGGAGGATAAGAGCGAGGGGGTCACCACATGCATAGGTGTCCTGTCCATCCCTGCACTGCAGAGGGATGCCGACCTACATAGGTGCCAACACGGGAGAAGGTGAGAACTCCGTGTTGGAAGCCCCCTTCCAATGAAGCAACTTTGGAACGAGCCTTGCAGCCAACACGGAGTCCTTTCAGATCAAAAGGGGGGGGGCGTAATTCCTCCAGGGTTCACCAGAAAGACCAAATACGAAAAGCAAGCAAACAAAGAAACAAACGAAGAAGCAAGCAAAGAAAGGGAACGAGTGACATGCCTGGATGTGGGCGTGCGTACTGCAGGCGCCAGAGCACCCGCTGAATGAAGGCATCACGCCAGCCAACGAGATTGTTGTTTTGGCGCCTGCAGTACTCCAACACGCTCGCACCCAACAAGCAAGCAAAGAAAGAGAACGAGTGACATACTTTTGAGACGTCTCAAAACACGCAGTGACATACCTGGATGTGCGAGTACTGCAGGCGCCACAGCACGCGCTGAATGAAGGCATCCCGAAGGTCCACGGCGGAGAGCAGCATGCGGCATGCCAGCTGCACGTCCCTTAAATCCACCACCCTCTTGTGCCCCCGCATGCTCTCCTGCAGCACTGCGCGGGATAGAGGGCGGTTGGGAGAGACGGGCGAGGGAGGGAGGGCGGAAGGAGGTAGGAAGGAAGAACGGATGAGTGTCAGGCAGAACGGAGGCAGGCAAGGACAGCGAGTCAGAGCAGAGAGATACCGAGAACCAGCATGAACAGAAACGGAAGGCAGCACAGACGGGAACGTGGAAAGAAGGAGCGCACGTTTCATGGCAGCCTTGTGGCTGGTGACAGATGCCTTTAGAATCTCGATGCAAAAGGGAGGATGCAACAGAAGAAGAAAAAACAAAACAAAACAAAACAAAGAAGGAGGAGAAAACCAAGAGACAGCCTGGAAAGAAGGAGCGCACGTTTCATGGCAGCCTTGTGCTCTGTGACGGGTGCACAGGCAGCAGCAGCAGCGGAGCGCACGAGGTCCAGAAAGAGGTGTGCGGGCACCCCTCCCCTCTCCAGCAGCGCTATCACCGTGCGGTTGAGACGTGCTGGCAGTGCCTCCTTGCTGAGGGGGGAAGGGGATGCAGACGCGGGATGGGAAAAATGGGAGGGACAGGAGGGACGGGAGGGATGGGAGGGACGGGAAAGTCTTTAGGAAGTAGGACAGGGAGTGGGACGAGGAGTGGGATGGGGATGCAATGCACGAGGTCCAGAAAGAGGTGTGCGGGCACCCCTCCCCTCTCCAGCAGCGCTATCACCGTGCGGTTGAGACGTGCTGGCAGTGCCTCCTTCCTAGTATGGGGGGGGGGGGAGGTGCAGACGAGGGATTGGGGAAATGCAAGGATGGGAAAGGTTATGGGGAGTGGTATGGAGGGGGGTATGGGTAGTGGAAGAGGTGTGCGGGCACCCCGCCCCTCTCCAGCAGCGCTATCACCGTGCGGTTGAGCCTCGCTGGCAGTGCCTCCTTGCTAGTGTGGGGGGGGGTGGGGGGGGGGAATGCAGACCAGGGATGGAAGGGATGAGAGCGATGGGAAAAGAAATGGGAAGTAGTATGAGGAGCAATACGGGGAGTGGGATGGGGGTTGGCGTTTGGAGTGGGTATGGAGAGTGGAACTTTCCAGCAGATGAGAAGGACGAAGAAAGGAATCTGAGAAGGATGTTATGGTAAGTGACTGTAAGTGATGTGATGGTACGTGACGTGACTATAGTGCTTGGGGCGCAGTTCAGAGTTATACAAACATTACTCCTCAGCTTCAGTTCATACCGCGACGTGATACATCCAATCCTACCAACCAACTCCACACACTCACGTGGTCTCATTCACTTCTATAGAGTAGAGAGGGCCGGTGGGCTGACATGGCAACTGCGATTGCTGCTGCTGCTGTTGCACCTGCGGCTGTGAACCTGCTTGCTGCAGCTGTGATGGCATGGGGAGGGGACAGACGCTGCTGTGGGGCCTTTGGGATGAGCCCAGAGACCCGGGAGAGGAGGCAGAGCCGTGGTGCAAGTGATGGGACTGATGCATGTGATGCGACTGATGGGTCTGGTGTGGCTGCTGCAATGACGGGAGCATGGGTGTGGACGGGGCTGCGAGGTTGCTTGGTGCGTCTAGCAGAGGAGCAGTGACTTTAACCATGCTGGTTCGGAGCAGGATGCACACGCCAGGACGGACGTACGATGGCATCTGCAGGGCACAGAGGGACAGACAGGGGGCAGTGGGCATGCAGGCTGTTATTGTGCGGCCTGCTGGGTCTGGCAGAGGAGCAGTGACTTTGAGCAGTGAACGTGCTGCTTCGAAGCAGGACGGACGTACGATAGCATCTGAAGGCCGCACACAGGGGGCATGCCAGGGGGTGATGGGAGCGAGCGGAGGAGCGGAGAAACAGACATGAAGATGTGAAGGGAGGGACGATGGGCATCTGAAGGGTGCACAGTCAGATGGGTGAGCAGAGGACAAGACACAATACTGTGACTGTGGGAAAGGGAGGTAGAGAGAGGAGAAGTGAGGGGAGGTGAGGGGAGGTGAGGTCTCGGAACAATAAATATTGCCTTCACCAATTGTACTGGGACATTTTGAGGATTCTCAAAAGCCACTGGCACACATTTACGGTGGGGGGTGGGTAGCTTCGAATCAAGCATGAGAAGGGGACCAGGACTGTCAGCTTCCAATTGAGTAAAAGAGAAAAACCACCCGACATATCCTCTTCAACACCATCCCCCCCTAAGCAACCCAACCCTACTGCAGACCCACTAGCTCTCCCCCAGAACTTGCGCTATGCGAAAGAGGGAGAGTGTGAGCACACTGCTGCTGCACTGCACAAAGCACTCTGCTCTGGTGCTCGCTCAATCTCACCTGCTGCACCACCAGCAACGTCCCCTTCACCACCATCCCCCCAAGAAACCCTCTCATCTGCCACACTGCAGGTCGCACCCCTTCATACCCCGCCCCCTCCTCTCCCTCGCCCCGAATTCCCCCTCCAGCTATTCTACGTGCTCCTCCCCCAATTTCCCCCGCTGCTCTTCCTCCTACCCCTCCTCCTCCTACTGCTCCTGCTCCTGCTCCTGCTCCTGCTCCCCATCCCCCACCCCTACCCCCTTGCACCAGTCCCCTCTCTTGCTCTATCTGTGTTGCAACCAGGCTCGCACTATCCCAGAACAACCCATCATCTCCCTCCTCTCCTTCCCCCCACTGCTCCTCTCTTCCCGCTCCGCCTGACCCTCCAATTCCTTCAAACACACCCCCCTCCACACCCTCCTCTGCACCACCTTCTGCACCCTCCATTGCCCCATCGCCAGCAGCAGCACCTCCCCCCAGCAGGCCCCGCTCCTGTTCGAATTGAGTCACTGCAACGTTCACGGCATCCCAGTCAACCTCGTCCTCATCCCACTCCACCCCATCCTCCTCCTCTTCGTCTGACTCCTCCAGCTCTTGTGCTGCTGCTGCCGCCACTGCTGCCGCCGCCTCCACTCCCGCTGCTCCTGTTCCTGTTCCTTCTCCTGCTCCTCCTGCTCCTCCTGCTGCTGCTGTTCCTGATGGTGGTGTGCCTGATGCCGTTGCTCCTTGAGCCTCGTCATCTGATTCTGGCTCCTCCAGCTCTTGTGCCGCTGCTGCCCTCACCGCTGCTGCTGTTGCCGCTGCTGCGCTTGCCTCATCCTCCCCATCCGAATCTTCCAATTCTTGTGCCGCTGCTGCCCTCACCGCTGCTGCTGCTGCTGCTGCTGCCCTGGCCTGCTCCTGAGATCGCTGCTGCTGCTGCTGCTGCAGGTTAACTTGTGATCGCTGCTGTGTCTGCCCCAACACCTGCTGCTGTTGCGTTTGGTTGGATCCAAGCTGCTTCTGCGCGTGCAACGAGAGCCGAGAGAGACAGAACGAAGGGGAGAGGAAAGGAGGGGGCAAGCAGATGCATGCACGTGAGAAGAGTAATGGTGGGTGATTCACCCAGCCAGCGCACGATGCTCAGAGTCTTAATCTGAAAGGACTCTGAACTTGGGTTAGTCAAAGTGCATGACTTTGGAAGTACGAGATTGCATAAATGTACAGTTTCCGACATAAGAGAACAGAATACAAGAGTATTTGCCCATCCCCTGTTACCAAGGTTTCGGGTTTAGAGTAATCCCTAAACCTAAACTCGAAATCCTGAACCCTCTCTTTCCTCCTTCCTACCCACCCTCCCTCACTCGACCCTCCTTCCATCCTCCCTCTCTGCATTCCTCCCTCCCTCCACTCCCCTCCTTCTCTAATCCACCGCATTCCACCTTCTTTCACCGGCATGGGTACCTGGTCGGTTCCGAGCTCCTCTCCCCGGGAGATGTGCTTTGGCGGAACGAGGGCAGCCAGTATCATGCCATTGCCGTCCGTGGACTTGGTGCCGTCCTGATGAGAGGATGGGTTTAGGGAGACAAGAGGTGGGGGACACATGGGGACAGATGAGGGCGGAAAGGTGTATTCTCCTTGTTTCCGAGCCGAACGTAACGAGGGCTACCAGATGTCATGCCACTGCCGTCCGTGGACTTGGTGCCGTCTTGATAGGGGGGTAGTACGAGGGGGAATGGTGGGGGGAGGGGAAGACTAAAAGGGGAGGGGCGAGGGCAGCAACCAATTATGCTCTCCGTGTTTCGTATCTGAAACAATAGAAGAGCGGCCAGTATTCTGCCATTGCCATCCGTGGATTTGGTGCCGTCCTGATGGGGGGATAGTACGAGGGGAGGGAGGAGGGGGTTAGAGAGGGCGGGAGGGAGGGACAGGAGGAGGGAGGGAGGTTTGAAGGAAGAGGGGAAGGGGAGCAGGAATGGGGAGAACAAGGAACAATCAGGCTGAGCACAACATGTAACAGGTGACATGGGACAAGTCGCATTCTGTTCTGTGTCATGACACATTATGCTCAGGACTCAGGTAACAGATGAGACATGTCAGATACATGTGTGGCGACCTACCAACCAAGTGAGACGTCCCACATGCTCTCGCTTGCGACGACGGTGTTTCAAGCCAAAGCATGCATGCCCATGCCCCTCCCAACCCAACCCAACCCAACCCAAGCTGAGACTGCACTCATCAACCAGCCCCTCATGTGCCATCATGCATGTGCCATCACGCATGTGCCATCATGCATATGCCATCATGCATGTGCCATCACGCATGTGCCATCACGCATATGCCATCATGCATGTGCCATCACGCATGTGCCATCACGCATATGCCATCATGCATGTGCCATCACGCATGTGCCATCACGCATATGCCATCATGCATGTGCCATCACGCATGTGCCATCACGCATGTGCCATCACGCATATGCCATCACGCATGTGCCATCACGCATATGCCATCATGCATGTGCCATCACGCATGTGCCATCACGCATATGCCATCATGCATGTGCCATCACGCATGTGCCATCATGCATGTGCCATCACGCATGTGCCATCACGCATATGCCATCATGCATGTGCCATCACGCATGCCTTTCAGCTGAAACGCCTTCTTTGTGCTGACTACGAAAAACATACAACAGACGAACCTCACACATGACCCCATGCTTCTCGGATTACATATAAGAAGGCCCAAACGTGATACACAGCAGCCCACCCACATCATCTGCTCCCGCACGCACCCCACATGTTTCACCATCGGCGCTTTGGACCACCGCAGGGGAGATTTTGGAAGTTACTCTTTTTTGTCCACTCACATCACAACCCACATGTGCTCCTGCACTGCATTGCACGCATCCCACATGTTTCATCATCGGCACTTTGGTTTGCAACAGCGCAGGGGAGGTTTTGTGAGTGACTTCTGAGTCAAATCACAACCCCAATGTGCTTCTGTTCTGCACTGCTCTGCACGCACCTCACATGTTTCGTCGTCAGCGATTTGGAGCACGGCAGGAGAGATAGTACAGGCGTCGAGCATAGGGTAGGTGCGTGAGAAGATGAGCCCTATGCTGCGAGGGTTGAAGAGTGCAAGGGAACAACGCGAGAAGCAGAGGGGAAGCAGACGGGAAGTGGGGGAAAGGAAGGAGGCGGGAAGCGGGGGAACGCAGGAGGTACAAAAGGAGGAGAGAGGTTAACAGCTGTTTTGAGAGCTGATAAGCGAAAAGAATCATCGTCGTTGCAAGGTTCTTGCAAATCATTGCAAGGTTGTGCAACCCCGGCAGCAAATGCCTAAACACATACACCCGTTCCCTTTTCTCCCTTCCTCCCCTGCCCCACCCCGACCTTGCAAGAGCCGAGAGAGTAATATCACATCAAACGCGAGTCTGAAACATCCAGGCATGTTCAAGACACAGAGGCGAGAAAACAATCACATTGAATTGAATGCGATCTCTTACCGAGCGGCCAGCTTTGGCACATTAGGGCAGCTGTCAAAGTTTCCAAACACTGCCCGCGCATCCCACGCGGAGGTGAAGGGGTGGAAAATGTGTGGCTGCTGCAGGTCCCAGGAGGCGGCAGAGTCGAGAGCGAGGAAGAACGCCTTGGGATGGAAGTGCGCTGTCTTGGGTGCTCGGTCTGTCTTGTGCGCTGTTGGCAAGAGAAACAAGTGGGCAAGTGGGCAAGTGGTCAAGTGCTCAAGTCAAGTAATCAGCCTGTCACGTTGGGTTTGGCGCTTGAGCAAGAGAATCCAGCTTGCCTACTCACTCAGATGAAACCACCAATGATTCAACAACCAGCAAAGCAGGGCAACCAACCAGGCAACCCAGCAAGGTACTGTTATTTGACGACTCCCAACAAGTGCGCTTTGAGACGACGCTAAGCCCACACACACGTGACCCGTCCACCCACATATCCCTGCCTTTTCAACCATCATAACCACTTAAACCCACCCACCAGTCATGTAGCCAGGAAACCAACCTACCAATCAACCAGGCACCAAACAATTTAGGCAACCCAGCCAGGCGACCCACCGAGGTACTTGAAGCGCCGGAGCCCCACGACGATGCCCTGCGGGCACACACGCTGTCGTGAGGCGGTTTCTGAGGCGCCTAAAACGCCTGAAGGCAACCCACCTGGGCGACCCACCCTGGCAACCCACCGAGGTACTTGAAGTGCCGGAGCCCCACGACGATGCCCTGCTGGCACAAGCGCTGGCACCAGCGCATGGCCTTGCGCTTGTGCGGGTGCAGCGGCAGCAGGAAGAGCACCTTCATGACCCGCATGTGCGTCAGCACCCTGTGCGCTGCTGACCCCCCCGGGTCCTGTGCCACGCCCTGTTGCATTGCGGGAAAGGGAAACCCGCAAGGGGAGAAGGGGGGGTTTGTGGCCCTCCAAATGAGCAGCGGCAGCAGGAAGAGCAGCTTCATGATTTGTGCATGGGTCAGCACTCTGTGCGCTGCTGACCCCCCCGGGTCCTGTGCCACACCCTGTTGCAGGGACAGATGGGATGGGAGAAGGGGAGAAGGGGAGGATAAAGACTTGCCCTTGTGTGCAGATGCAGCGGCAGCAGGAAGAGCACCTTCATGATCCGCATGTGCGTCAGCACCCTGTGCGCTGCTGACCCCCCTGGGTCCTGTGCCACGCCCTGTTGACACGAGAGGGGAGGGGAGAAGGGGAGAATGGGGAGAAAGGAGACTTGACCTTGTGTGCGGATTCAGCAGAGCACTCTCTGGCCAGCTGACACCCCGCATTCTGTACCACGCCCTGTTGACACAACGGAGAGAATTTGGGTGGGGAGAAGAGGGGAGCGGAGGGGGTAAGCAGGAAGAGGGGGGGCTTGTTGGAAGAGCGAAGGTTGGAGGGGGGCTTGTCCTTGTGGGTGTGTGCAGCGGCAGCAGGAAGAGCACCACACGAGAGCCACCAGCAACTCAGGATGGATGCGGAAATCGGCATGCTCACCACCAGAACAACTGCACACTGCCTCCACCCCGCACCACCACATCACATCACATGCGGCCGCTGTACTGTACCCTATGGGATGCTACGTGAATCCGCTCAACCGGAATCAATCTTCCCAGATGCACCATGCCCCAAGGGTGTCCACACGCTGCTACCTCAACACAGCACTCCAGCAATCCAGCACTCACTCACCACATACTGTATGCCATGGCGTGGATGTATGTGCACTTCGAGAAAGGCTCTCCTCTCGGGATCCGCGAGGGCTGCTGCCACTCCTTGCTGCAGTTGCCATGCACATGACATGCACAAGGGCAGGCATACACACACACAAGGCAACATGAGACAGGCACGCCACACAGGCAGGCAGTTGTGGCACTGGGAGAGCACCAAGTGCAACACAGGGAGCATGGATGCACCGTGCCATGGTACTTTCCATGCGAACCCCTCAAGACGAAATTGAGAACAGGAAGAGAAATTGAGCTCAAGTCGACTAGGGCAACGGAGTAACGAATTCAACCGTGGGCGTGGGATTTGGGAATGGTTCAGAAAGCAGGATCAATCGATGGAAGGTGCTCTAACGAGCATTCAGCATGGTGCATGTGGTTTCGCAATGTCTTTGAAAGTGTTTAGAAAGCGCCTTCATGGTGCATGAACAGTTGAGATTGCGTGAACAGCTGGGCATGGATGGATGTGGATGGGCGTGGATGGGCGTGGATGGGCGTGGATGGGCGTGGATGGAGTGATTGACTGACAGGAGCAGCAGGGTGGGGCAGCAGCGGGGGAAGCGAGCGCAGGTACGCTTCGGCATCCACTAGTGGCAAGCTGGAGAGGAATTTCACCCACGATACTGGCATGTGATTCACCATCTCACTGCACGCATGTACAGGGGTTGGAGGGGGGGAGAGGTTGAGAGAACACAAAGAGAGACTGCGGATGGGAGGAAGCGGAGAGCATGAGAGAACACGACGGCATGGGAAGGGGCAAACGCGAGCAGCAGGAATTCATTACGGCAGATAGGATTGAGCATCCACGCAAGCTGGCGAGGGTTGTGAGCCGTGCACCAACGCTGCTGGCATGGCGTGGGTTGAAATTTCTCACAACATTAAGAGCGATTGCTGAAATTTCTCTAAACAATCTCACAGGAACTAACACGATCCAGCCGGCGCGATTCCGCCCTGACAAGCACCCACCCACCTGCCCACAGTCATATCCAGCAGGTATCGCAGCTCGGGCGTTGTCCCTCCCAGCGCCCGCTCCTGCTTGCTCTCCATGCCTGGAAACCTCCCCCACCCCCTCGCCCTCACAGCCTCTCTCGCAGCCTCCGTCATTTCATCCGTCAAGTTTATTGGAAAATCCTCCGCCCTTAGAACCAGAGCAGGTGCTGCCGCGTTTTGTAAGGCTCCTCTTCCCCTTCCTCTGCCCCCTCGTGCTCCCCCCCTTGCCCCTCTCGCCCCTGCTCCTGCCACTCCCATTCCATCCGCCTCTACCCCACTTGCCCCCCCTCTTGCCCCGCCTCTTGCCCCACCTCTTGTCCCGCCTCTCGACCCCCCTCTCCCTCTTCCCCGTCCTCTCCCTCTGCCATCCGTCCACCTCCCTGCTGCTGCTTCGGCTACCCCTGCCCCTGCTGTCTCCCCCTGTGCTTTTCCTCCCCCCCCTGCCTCTTCCGCCTCTCCCCTGTCCTGCTGGGCTGTGCGTACCATCAGTGCGATCCTGGCCGTTGCCAGCAGCTGCTGGTGGATTCTGGCCGTTGATTTGGTTGCCAGAGTTGGAAGTAGCGTGGTTATCAGTGGCAGATGCTCCAGCTACAACGCCAGTATTGGCAGGCCTGGTAGCAGCAAAGGTAGAGGCTGGTTGGGCAGATGGAACAAACACAGCAGCAGCAGCAGCAGCAGCAGCAGCAGCAGCAGCAGCAGCAGCAGCAGCAGCAGCAGCAGCAGCAGCAGCAGCAGCAGCAGCAGCAGCAGCAGCAGCAGCAGCAGCAGCAGCAGTAGCATTAGCAGCAGCGGTGGAAACACCAGCAGCAGCAGGACCAGCAGCAGGGGCACTGGTAGTTGCATGACCCATGCCACTCCCAAACTGCCCATTATGCATGTACGTCCTTTGGAAATCATCGCCAGGCATCTGCCCATGCCCTGGCCTTTCCAATCGCGAGAAAGGAATCTGCACGTCCCTCAGCCCGTGAGCTTGGCTAGAAGACACCACCTCTGAAAATGGCTGGCTGCCTGGGAGACCGTTCCTATGCGGATTTGGCGGCACAATTTGGTGCGCGTTTACAAGCGTGTTCGCAGGCGTGTGTTGCATGCGTGCAGGCGTGTTCGCATGGTTCGCACGGAAAATTGCCTGCATGCCTGTATGCATGTTCGCCGGCGTGTTTGCAAGATTGTTCCTCTGTGACTCATACTGTCCCCCACCAGATTGTGAAAGCTGCGTTTGCTGCACCTGCGGCGGTTGCTGCTGATAATACTGAGGAGGATACTCATATGCAGGCTGGTAATGCTGCTGCAGCTGCGCCGGCGCCGGCGGCCGCTGTCTATGTTGCCACTGCGGCTGCTGTTGACCGAGCTGATGCCTACCACGCGAACCAGGATCCGCCATTGCTGGAAAAAATAATTCGTAAAAGACCAACAGAATCACACCCCTTCAAACGAAGCAGATCAAAACGTCTCCAAATGGTCACCCTCAGGTAAATTCTACTGAGCAAATTCGGAAGTGGATCAGGGGTGTTGATTGAGAGGAGATGCTGAGAGGAAATCCTTGCTGCGGAGAGGAGAACCAAGGAATTACCGAATCCCGCCAAAATGTTTTTTCGCGGCCGGATCAAGCGTTGAGATTGAATTTCTGGATTGAAGGAGCACCAGGGTCGTCCGATTCATGCACGATAAATCGGCGAAGGTGATCCGGGTGGCGTAAGGCTGACGTGATGTGTTGAGTGTAGAGGAACATTATGAGGTGATATAATGGCATAGATTTTGCCAAGACAAGGGATTGATAGAAACTACCCGTACGGTACCAGTTCCCCCAATTTTTATCAATAACCTCTCCTTTGTTTCACACAATCCAACTTGTAACAAAGACTACTCATTACAATTCTTAACAATACTACTAGGATATATATAGGGTAGGGTGTGCTGTAATAGTTTTGCGGAAGTGCTAAGACCAACTTGCAACGCTAAGGTGCAGGACACAGCAGGGAAACGCTATACCGTACTCACCATGGCCAAAACTGCTGATTGCTTTACCCTCAACAACCACAAGCACTCTAAGGAGGCTGAGACAACGACTCCCATCCCATTCCCACCACACCGAGGACAACTGCCGCACCTGAAACACTCCCATCTAACCACAACACCCAAGGACAACTGCGCTGCGACACACGGAGCCCCGTGGACTGAGGCCCTCCCCAGTCACATGGCATGGAAGTTGGTTGGAACGTCCATCCACCCAATCAGTCCCCAGACGGGGACTTGAGGCCCAGTACAATCACGCCGCCAGTGGTGCCGCTCCCATCTGATGACATGGACGACCCACGGAGCTCCGGGGACGGGGAGGCGGAGGGGGGCCGCAGCGAGGCTCTGCGCGCCAGGGGGTTTGTGGGGCTCTCGGAAGGAGACGGGTCCTCCTCTGACTTGGACGGGCGCGGCTGGTGCCACCTCATGAACCCAAGGCCTGCGAGGGGAGGGGAGGGGTTGGACACAGGGAGGATGGAGAAGGGAGAGAGTGTTGGGGTGACAGGAGTTGGGAGAAGGAGGCTCTGCGGGCCAGAGTGTTGGTGGGGCTCTCGGAAGGAGACGGGTCCTCCTCTGACTTGGACGGGCGCGGCTGGTGCCACCTCATGAACCGGAGGCCTGCAAGGGGAGAAGTGAGGTTGACACGGGAGCGAGGGGGTTGGGGAACGGGGAAGGGGAAGGGGAAGGGGGCGAAAGGGGTGGGGGGGATGGCCTGTGCGAGTTAGCGGTTTGAAACAGTGACTATGACCCATTGCTGGGTGATGCATGATGCGTATTGCTCTTCTCACCACACGTGTACTAACCTGATCACGTTCAGGATACATACCATCACCACCATCAATTAACCATCATCACCATCACCACCATCGTTGACATCACCATCATCACCATCATCACCATCATCACCATCATCACCATCATCACCATCATCACCATCATCAGCACCACAGTACCCACCTTGCTTGGACTGCTTGGCCTGGAGATTGGCGAGCAGCTGTGAGTGCGAGAGGGAGAGTGTGTGCAGGTCGCCCTCTATACGCGCCAAGTCCTCCTTGTGATCCCTGCTCGTGCCCTGCAGCCGCTGGCATTGCTGCCAGAGGGGATGGGCGGCACGAGGGAGAATGGGAGGGAACGGGAGGGAATGGGAGGGAATGAGGAGTGAGGGGAAATGAGGGGGGAAGAAAAGAGGGGCATAGGAGGGGCAGTGCTGACCTCGTAATGGACGCCGACAAAGCCAGTGGTTGGAGAGGAAAAGAGAAAGACAAACAAGACCAGCGAGTTAATTCCAACATCCAATCTTCCACTTCCCTTCCCCTTCACGTTCCCTCCCGTATCCCACTACCCCCTCCCATTTCCCTCCTCTCGCTCCTCCCACCCTCCCTCCTTTCCTCCCACTCTCGCCCCCCCTCTCCTCCCCACCGCCTCCTACCTCAAGCGCCGTCCCCAGCTGCTCTTCCACGCCTTCTCCCATCTCCCACCTCTCGTTCCCACCCCACTACCTTCTCCCATCTCCCACCTCTCGTTCCCACCCCACTACCTTCTCCCATCTCCCACCTCTCGTTCCCACCCCACTACCTTCTCCCATCTCCCACCTCTCGTTCCCACCCCACTACCTTCTCCCATCTCCCACCTCTCGTTCCCACCCCACTACCTTCTCCCATCTCCCACCTCTCGTTCCCACCCCACTACCTTCTCCCATCTCCCACCTCTCGTTCCCACCCCACTACCTTCTCCCATCTCCCACCTCTCGTTCCCACCCCACTACCTTCTCCCATCTCCCACCTCTCGTTCCCACCCCACTACCTTCTCCCATCTCCCACCTCTCGTTCCCACCCCACTACCTTCTCCCATCTCCCACCTCTCGTTCCCACCCCACTACCTTCTCCCATCTCCCACCTCTCGTTCCCACCCCACTACCTTCTCCCATCTCCCACCTCTCGTTCCCACCCCACTACCTTCTCCCATCTCCCACCTCTCGTTCCCACCCCACTACCTTCTCCCATCTCCCACCTCTCGTTCCCACCCCACTACCTTCTCCCATCTCCCACCTCTCGTTCCCACCCCACTACCTTCTCCCATCTCCCACCTCTCGTTCCCACCCCACTACCTTCTCCCATCTCCCACCTCTCGTTCCCACCCCACTACCTTCTCCCATCTCCCACCTCTCGTTCCCACCCCACTACCTTCTCCCATCTCCCACCTCTCGTTCCCACCCCACTACCTTCTCCCATCTCCCACCTCTCGTTCCCACCCCACTACCTTCTCCCATCTCCCACCTCTCGTTCCCACCCCACTACCTTCTCCCACTCCACCCCACCCGGCCTACCTCAAGCGCCGTCCCCAGCTGCTCTTCCACGCCTTGCACCTTGCCCTCCACGCGCTTCATCTCCCCCTCCATCTTCCCCACGCCCGCCGCCACCTCCCCGCGCATCTTCCTCTGCTCCTCCCTCACCACCCCCTCCAGCTTCCCCACCAGCGCCCGCACATCCGCCTGCAACCGCGCCAGCATCGTTTGGGAAGCAGCTAGCCGCTCCTCCTCCTGCCGCTGCACCTCCTGCGATAGCTCCTCCTGCCCTTTCACCAGACGCGCCTGCTCTGATAACAGTTCCTGCACCGCCTTCTCGTGAGCCTGCACCAGGCTCTGCTGCAACCTCTCCATCTCCTCAATCCGGGCTTTTATACTCTCCACATCTGCCCCGGTTTCTCTCGCGCTCTCCTCCTCTGTCCACCGTCTCAACGCGTCTTCCGCTGCTTTCTCCTCCCCTCTCCGCTTCTCTAGATTCAGCTCTTCCTCTACTGCCTTCACGTGATCAGCCAGACTTCCTGCTTGTAGCTCTAGAGCGTGCACCCCCTCTTCAGTCCCATCCACTTTCAGTTGCACCTGCACCATCTCCTCTCCCAGGCTCTCCACCTTCTCATCCACACCGTTCATCTTCTCACGCACAACATCCACCTCGCTCTCCATACCGTTGATCTTCGTACCAATCTCGGCCTCTAGCATCTCGATCCGTGCAGCTGCATCTGCTCTTGCTGCTTCCACAGCAGCAGCAGCTGCTGCTTCCCCTTCAGAAGCTTTCCTCCCAGCCTCAGCAGCAGCAGCAGAAGCCGCACCTGCATGCTTCTCCACCTGCTCCAATCCTTCCTCAACCTTCTTCTCCAGACTCTCTACTCTCTCCGCCTCCTTTACACTCTCTTGCCGCAACCCTGCCAACTCCTCTCCACTCCTCTCCACCACTCTTTCCAACCCCACCACCTTGTCAGACACTCCCTGCACCTGCTGCTGCATCTTCCCTTCCACCTCATCCACTCTCTTCCTCTGCTCCCCTACCACCTCTCCCCATCTCTTCACCAAACCATTCATCTCCCCCACTGCACCCGCCACTGCGCTTTCCGCCCTCTCAGCCGCCCGATCCGCGCTCTCCCGAGCCTGCCGGACAGCCTCGTCCCGAGCCTCTTCCGCGCTGCGCCGAACCGCCTTGAGGTCCGTCTCAAGGTGGGCCAGAGCATCCTTGAAGGTCCTCCCTTCTCTCCGCATGTCTTTCTTCACCTCCTCCACACTATCCCTTAACGCAAAGCCCCGCGTCCTTAGCTCTTTCACCTCCACCTGTACGCTCGATACTACCTCCCACAATCCAACCGTTGCAGCAGAAGAAGCAGAAGCAGAGGCAGAAGAACCACCACTGCCGTTCTCATCCCCTCCTTCAGCATTATTATCAGCATTGGCAGGATCTTCGTTTGCGCATGCCAGCCCTTCTCTCCTACTTCCTATCCCCACTTTCCGGACCTCCTCCCGAGCCACCTGCCGAGCCTCTTCCACGCCTTTCTGCCTGGCCAGCTCCAGGTCTTCCTGGAGCTCCGCAGCCAGTGCTTCCCGAGCCTGCGCCTCCCGAACCTGCGCATCCTGCCGAACCTCCTCAGCCTGTTTCAACGACTGCTCCAGTCCCCTCACTCCCGTGTCAAGCCTTGCTAGCTCCTTCCTTACCCAGACTAACTCCTCCTTAACCTCTCTCGTCCCCTCACTCTCCCTCTCAACATCCCCCCCCATGGCACCCTCTCCCATCCCTGATTCCACCATCACCAGCCGCCCTTCCAACCCCAACACCTGCTCCTCCATCCCCTCAACCCGCTCCCCCACCGAACTTACTCCCTCCTGCATCACCCCCATCTGTTCTCGCACCAACCCCATCTCTTCTTCCAGCGAGGCAACCTGGGATTCTATAGACGCCACAGCAGCGCCTTGCACAGCAGCAGACGCCTCTTCAGTGATAGAGCTCGCTTCCAGCTCTGTCACGCGTACAGACACTTCCTGCACCGCTTCCCTTGCTGCACTCAACTCCACCTCCACCTGCCGCAGCCTCTTTACTAACTCTTCCCTTGCCCCTGCCCCTGCTCCTGCTCCTGCTCCTGCTCCTCCTGCCCCTGCCCCTCCCTCGCCCATCCCACCACCCATCACCATGGCCCGCATGTCCTTCACCTCCTGCTCCAGCTGCTCTACTGCTCCCTCCAGTCTCCCCACCTCCGGAGTCCTCTCAACCACCTGCCCCAGCTTCACCTGCACCTTCCCCAGACTGCCCTCCAGATCCCCCACCTCTCGTCTAATCTCCTCCACTTGCTCTAGAACCCTCTGCTCCAGCAACCTCGCCTTCTCCCCTTTCTCCCCTTCTTCTTCCCCCGCTAAACCCCTCCCAGTTCCTCCTCCCATTGCAGCTGCCACTGCTGCAACGCATTCCTCCTGCATCCTCCCTTCAAACCCTTCTAGACTCCCTTCCACCGCTTGTACTCTCCCTTTCACTCCTTCGAAGCTCCTTTCCACGCCCTCTACTTTCCCTTCCAGTGCTTGCACCCTCCCTCTCACCTCTTGCACCCTCCCGTCCACCCCTTCAACCCTCTCCCTCATATCCCTCCTCCACCCCTCCACTGCCTCCTTCCACTCCTCATCACCCCTCTCCTTTCTCTCCTGATCAACGCTTCTCCCCTCCACCTCCCCCTTCCACCCCTCCACCCCCTCTCTCCACCCCTCCACTTCCACTCTCCACCCCTCCAACGCCCCACTCCACCCCTCCATCTCCCCTCTCCACCGTTCCACCTCCCGCATCCTCTCCCTCAAATCCCCCACAGCGCCAGCAGCAGCCTCCGCCTCAGCCTGCGCCAGGTGTGCCGTCTCAACTGCAGATTCTACAGCCACCGACGCTGCTGCTCGCTCCACTGCCGTTGCCTTCTCTGCAGACGCTGCTGCAGTTGCTGCGAGTAAAGCCACGTGCTGCTGGGATGCGAGACAGCTCTTCAGCTGCTCCTGCACCGGCTGGGAGCGGGAATGGGGAACGGATGACGGGGGGGAGAGTGGGGAAAGAAGAAATAATGAGAAGATTATCTCCTTCAGATCTCCCTGCTGCCTCAGCCTGCGCCAGGTGTGTTGTCTCAAGTGCAGACTCTACGGCCGCCGACGCTGCTGCTCGCTCCACTGCCGTTGCCTTTTCCGCAGACACTGCTGCTGTTGCAGCGAGCAGCGCCACGTGCTGCTGGGATGCGAGGCAGCTCTTCAGCTGCTCCTGCACCGGCTGGGGGAGGGTATAGGGGGAGGGGGAGGGGGAAGGAATGGGGAAAGGAAGCGGGGGAGGGGGTGGGGAAAGGAGGAAGGGGAGGGGACGGGAAAGATGGAATTAGGAAACTATTCTTCTCCCTCAGAACCCCGCTGCTTCCGCCTCAGCCTGCGCCCGCAATTCCTTTGTCTCTATTTGAGACATTTGAGTCACCTCAACACAAGTGCCTTAAACAAGCTTCTCACCTCGACAGCAGCCGCCACTGCAGCTAGAGCATCAACATGCCTCGCCTCCATCAACCCCCTCATCTCTTCCAACTGCTGCTGCTGCTGCCGCTCCCACTGCGATAACTTTTGAGTCGACTCAAAAGTCAACAAGCTTCTCACCTCAACAGCAGCCGTCACTGCAGCTAGAGCATCCCCATGCCTCGCCTCCATCAACCCTCTCATCTCTTCCAGCTGCTGCTGCTGCTGCCGCTCCCACTGCGCCCGTTGCTGCTCCAGCTGCTCCTGCTGCTGCTCCAGCTGCTGCTGTGCCGCCTGCTGCTGCTGCTGCAGCTGCTGCAGGCGCTGCTGCAACGAGTGCTCCACGTGCTGCTGCTGCTGCTGCTCGTGCTGCTGCAGCTCCAAGCAATCCATCTGCACCTGCAGGCTCTGATGGTGGGCAGGCAGGAATGGCGGGGAAACGGAGAGGTACGGAGAGACGGGGAGAGAAGACGGGTAGGTAAGGAAAACGTGCTGCTGCTGCTGCTGCTGCTCGTGCTGCTGCAGTTCCAAGCAATCCATCTGCACTTGCAGGCTCTGATGGTGAGAAATAAGAGCGGGGGAAACGAAGCGTATGGAGAGAACGGGGGACAGAGGAGGGAGCAGAGACGGTAGGCAGGAACGGCTGAGAAACTGGAAGGAGGAAACCCCGAGAGGAAAGAAACAAAAGTGGAAAGCACTCCACAGGCAACGTGAGGGGATCTCCGTACATACATTACCCACGAGGAAGGAATCTCCCTAACGTAAGGGAATCTATGAGTAGCTAAAGAGAGAATAAGAAGAACAAAAAAACAGAAACCAGGAAAGCACAAAGGAGGATTGATGGTCAGGTCAGGCAGCCATACCTTGTGTTGAGCGGATTCTTGGACACACACACACACCATCCATCCATACCTTCAGGTCTGATTTTCTATTCTTGATTCTTGAGTCATAAACCCTAAACATAAGCAAACCACGATTCGAAGAGCCAGCCAGCCGTACCTTGAGGTCTGCAGCCAGGATTGCCAGCTGCTGATGCCTCTCCTCCTCCTTCCGCCGCTCAATCTCCCTCTCCTTCTCCTTCTCCCGCTCCCTCTCCTGTTCCCTCTCGCTATCCCTCTCCCTCGCCCGCGCCCTCTCCTCCTCCACCCCCTCCATCCGCCCTGTGAGCATCTCCAATGCTGCCTGCATCTCCTGCTGCGCTGCCACCAGCGGTGCCGTGCCTGAGTGCCGCTGCTCAGAGGGGGCAGTGGGGGCGGGGAGGGGGGAGGAAGAGGAAAAGGAAGACCGAAGTGTGAGAGGGAATAAGCCATGCTGATTGGTTGTTGTTGTTGCCGGCTTGTTCAGTGCAGCAGCCTGCATCTCCTGCTGTGCCACCACCAGTGGTGCCGTGCCCGAGTGCCTCTGATGAGAGGACGATGAGGGGACAAAAAAGCCAAGGGGTTGGGACACTTGCTTAGTCCGGTGGTGCATCTGATGGGACGCTTGCCAGCTAAAACAACACCGGTGGTGCCCTGCTCCAGTGCATCTGATGAGAGGACGACGAGGGTACGTACATAACGGAAGGGCAGAGGGGCCAAGAGGAGGCGAGGCGAGGCGAGGAGAGGAGCGGGGAGGGGAGGGGAGGGGAGGGGAGGGGAGGGGAGGGGAGGGGAGGGGAGGCGAGGCGAGGAGTGGAATAGTGAGGGGTTGAGCCCCAGCCACCACCACTGCCTTGCTGCACCGCCACTCCACAAACGATTTTAGAGAAACTCAAGAATCCCAGAGAGAACCCATCATACCTCTGCTAGAGGCCTCAATGACTGAGGCGCCTCAAACCAAACAGCGTCCATCAACCATACCTCTGCAGTCTCACCTGCAGCCACCACACCACCACGGCGGCCTCGTCGCACCGCCTCTCCACAAACGCTCTCTAAGTCGACTCAAGAACTTCAGCGAGTATCCATCCATCCATCCATCCATCCATCCATCCATCCATCCATCCATCCATCCATCCATCCATCCATCCATCCATCCATCCATCCATCCATCCATCCATCCATCCATCCATCCATCCATCCATCCATCCATCCATCCATCCATCCATCCATCCATCCATCCATCCATCCATCCATCCATCCATCCATCCATCCATCCATCCATCCATCCATCCATCCATCCATCCATCCATCCATCCATCCATCCATCCATCCATCCATCCATCCATCCATCCATCATACCTCTGCAGCAGCCTCCTCGAATTTTGAGGCACCTCATCAAAGCGCCCACCCTCCCTCCACACATACCGCTGCAGTGTCGCCCGCAGCCACCACGGCCTCGTTGCACCGCCTCTCCACAAACGCGCGCAGAAGCTTTCTGTGCCAAGCCAACTCAAAGACTGGCAGGGAGCACCTATCATGATCATACCTCTGCACTGTGCCACCCACCTCGGCTAATGAGGCTCTTCAGAGAACACCCTCCTTCTCTCCATAACTCCCTCCATACGTACCGCTGCAGTGTCGCCTGCAGCCACCACGGCCTCGTTGCAGCGCCGCTCCACAAATGCGCGCAGCACCTCGCCCTGCTGCTGCAGCTGCTGCTGCCAGCGCTGCTGCTGGTCCCCCTGCACCTGCTGCATGCGCTGCTGCTGCCGCTGCTCCGCCTCCCCCTGCACCACCTCCAACATCTCCACCTGCGCCTGCAGGGCCTGTTGATAGGTAGTCCCCCGGGGAACGAACAGGGGGGAAGGCAGGGAGGAAAGGATGAGGTGAAAAACTTGCAAGCCTAATTTTGCTGCCGCTGCTCCCCCTCCCCTGCAAAAACCTCCAACATCTCCACCTGCGCCTGCAGGGCCTGTTGGCGGGCATTCCGGAAAGAAGGGGGAGTATGTGAGAACAAAGAACAGGGAAGAAGGAACGAGTGAGAGAAGACGGACTAGCACCTCCCCTCCAGCCCCGCCCCTCAACCTCCAGCATTTCGCCCTGCACCACCTCCAGCATCTCCACCTGCGCCTGCAGCGCCTGCTGGGGGAGTAAAGTAAAGGAGCCGTGGGGTGAGGCAGAGCAGGAGCGAATGCGAATGAGGGGAAAATGGACTAGCACTTCCCCCCATCCCCCACTGCCTCCCACTGCACGCACACCACTCCCCCATCTCCGCCTGCGCCTGCAGTGTCTGTCAGCAGTGATAATCGAAAGAAGGGAGCAAGGGAACCACGGGGGGAAGGAAGGGAAGGCACAGCACAGCATGGCACGGCATGGCACAGCACGGCACGGCAAGGCACGGCACCACACCGAACAGCACAGCACCGCACAGCACAGCACACACCTTAACGGTTTCTGCCAGCGCGTGTGTGCTGCCTGAGTGATCGTGCTGCATGAACTGCTGGCCGTGCTCCTGCTGCTGCAGCAGTGTCACCCGGTCCTCCAGGTCTGCAATGTGCGAGCACATACCTTAACAGCTTCGGTCAGCGCGTGTGTGCCTGACCCTGACTGATCGTGCTGCATGAACTCCCGGCCGTGCTGCTGCTCGTGCTGCTGCTCCTGCTGCTGCAGCAGCGTCACCCGGTCCTCCAGGTCTGCGATGTGCGAGCGCGCCTCGTCCAGCGACGCTGCTGCTGACGCCGCCTTGGCTGCAGCTTTCGAATATTTCTGCACGCGGGAAGTGTGGGGGAAGGAAGGGTGAACGCGGAGGGGGGAAACGGGGCAGGGGGGAAGATGGAAGGGGGGAGAGGGGAGAAACAGGCACGCTGGACTATGAGGCGGGAACGGGGTGGCGTGGAAGGAGGGGAGCAGGGTGGGAAGGGAGAGCAGGGTAAAGGCAGGGCGCGCAACAGGGTGCAAGAAGAGCAGGACAGGACAAGCCAGACCAGAGTCAAAGAAGGGAGGGACTGGAGGCAGGCGCGGCGTGCAGAGGAGAGCGAGGATTGAGGGTACAATCAAGGCACAGAGAAAGAGCGAGGCGGCAGCAAACATGACACAGACACACCTCTTCCGCCTCGAGCAGCAGCATGAGTGACGAGTTGCGCTGCTCGCCCTGCTCCCGCACCCCCCGCACGTCCCTCTGCAACTCCCCCACCACCTCCCTCAACACCCGCACCTCCTCCTCCTGCCGCTTCCGCTCCTGCTCCCTCTGCTGCTCCCGCTGCTGCTCTCGCTGCTCCTGCTCCTTGGTCTTCCCCGCCCCATTCCCTTCCGCCTCCACCTTCTCCACCTTCTCCGCCTTCTCCGCCTTCTCTCTCAGCGCCCGCACCTCCCCCGCCAGAGCGTCCATCCCCGCCACCTGCTCTTTGAGAGATCTCACCACCGCACTCAGCTCACTCCGCGACATGCGCCCTCCTTCCTCCTCGTCCTCCTCCTCATCATCCTCATCCTCCTCCTCTTCCGTATCATCGTCATCATCGTCGTCCTCCTCTGAGTCTCCACTCCCATTTGAAGACTCCTCTGTTTCGTCCTCGTCATCATGCCTGTGCCTTCGGTGCCTGTGGTGGTGGTGGTGCCGCCGCCCCTTCTGTTGTTGTTGCTGTTCCTGCTGCTCCTGCAGTTGTTGCTGCTGCAAGAGGAGTCTCTCCTTGGCTTGCTGCTCTTGCTCCTGTGAGACAGACAGACACGCAGACGACATGGATAAAACGCTCAGCACGGTGGGAACCCTGCCGCGTGATCAAGCACATCTCCGTGACTCGCAAAAGTGTGAAATTTCCAGAACATAATACGTACAACAAGCCAACTCCATCAATAACTTAATACTCACAATACACTATTCGCGGAGCTCCTTAAAAAAATGATTCGCCGAATTGATATCAGAACTCCAGATTGTAGTACTCACCCCACCCCACCGGTTACTCGTCTCTCTTCACACCATCGGCTCACCAGCAAGAGTCGCTGCTGCGCCATCTGCTGCTGCAGCAGCTGCACCGTCTCCTCCACGTGGCCCCTCTTCCGCTCCGCGCCCCTCAGCTGCAGGAACAGCGCCTGGTGCGCCGCGCACGCGCGGGGACATGGCGGAAGGGAGGGAGAGCGCACGACGACGGGGTAGCAGCAAGACGGAGGAAACGGAGGAAAGCGAGGAGCATGAGGACTGGAAGGTGATATTTGAGTCGACTCAAAGATCAAACGGAGGAGAGTGAAGGGAATGGAGGGGTGGAAGCAAATCAACGGGGGAAGGAAAGCAGCGGAAATGACGATTGATGCAATATCAACGGCGCTTGTGGATGCAGAGGGTGCGGAGAGGGATCAAACGGTTGCTGCGAAACCCATCGACGGCTCACGTACCGCCATGCCAGATCCAACGGCGCCAACGAGTCCCAGAAGCGGTAATCCCCCTCCGCCCTTCATCCCTTGCTGGTTGCCGCCGCCCCCCTGCGCTTTCCTGTACCGCCCGCTGCCGTCCATTTCGTTGCGACTGAAAGGGTCGGTGGTCGTCGCACTCGCGACGTGCGACGTCGAATAGGGAGAGGGAGTCGTCGCACAGCAGTGGACGTGGCTACTGCTGCGACTGCCTCGACCGCAATTATTATGCTTATGATTGAAGCTGTGCCCTAATCAAAGCTGGCAAATCTCTATTCTTAAGTGCTGAAGATCTTCCGGTCTAAAAACCCGCGCGCACGTCGACTGCTAATCAACTATTCAACAGACCCGAAACCTCGACTACACGTCAACGCCGATTCGGATCGCGACGCCTTAAGCAAACTCACACCGCGGGTATAATTTAACGCGCGCTCGCAAACGCCGAGCACCTCGTAGGGCAGGGCATGAAAGCCAGCCTGAGTATAATTTAACGCGCCGAGACGCGGAGGACAAGACTCGTCGTCTTAATTCGTTGATTTGCCGCCCGAGACTCGAACCATGCGCGATACGCGCGCCGTCGACGTCGCCATACAACGAGCAGAACAACTTGGAATCGTCGGACTCGTAGGGTCAGCTAGCAACGGCACGATGCTCAGGGAGTCGGCGCGCTGTGTGCGCCACGCATTATCAACCGCCTCTTAACTCTCGCGTCGACTAAAAAGCACGCTATATCGGAGTCGCTTTTGAGACTTCTGAAAAGCACGCAGCACGCTCGTCGTCAGCAGCTCCAGTCAGCGCACCCTAATGGGCTTTCGCGTGTCACAACTACAACTTACGACTCACGTCACAGCATTTGCGCGTCATCCCACTCCACCCTAGCTGCACGCGCGTGAACCGCGCAGCTGCCTCTTTACTCAGCGTGCAAACTCACGCGCCCGTGATTCTCGGTGTTGGGTTCACCAGCAGCCGTAATTTGGAAGTCACGCGTGGACAGGCGACGACTAGAGCGGTTCCGGATCGAGCATGCTGTCGCGGGCATAGTATATATGGCTCACCTACACCTGACCAGATTAGCTTCTGCCAAGCCTAGTAGGTCGCCGAAGCTGATTTCATTTTAAAGCCCAAGACCTGAATTACAAAGAAAAATAGGCAAACAGATTTCATTCTCGCTACTAGGTCGACGCCCTCCTCCCTACCTCGTCCCGATTTCGTCGCTCCATTCACACCTTTTCCTAAGCTCCTAGCATCGTCCCTAACCCCAGGCTTTGCTGCTCAACTTTTTGCGCCTTCCGCCTTCCACCCTTGCACAGCACAGACTGTACCCTCCTTTTCCTTGCCACTGTACTCGGCTCGGCTCGGCAGAATCAAGCACAGCACAGTCCTGTACACTACCCCTTCTCTTTCCGCTCCCTGTGGATCTGATTGAGCGAGGTTTTGTGCCCAGCGCCCCGCCGCCCTCGCTACGTCGCCTCACTTCGGCATATCGCCAGTCTCGCCTGTTGCGTAACTTAATCGCGAGTGTGGTGTCTACGACGGTTTCAGCTTTTGGCGACAAGTCTCGTCCGAACCAAGGCTGGCTGTCGCAGACATATTTGCAGGGGCGCGCCGCGTCGACGAAGCCCCGATATCGAAGATGTCGGAGGATGAATGTGGTAGGCTGCGCAAGTACACTTCATCCTGTAAAACAATGACGTTCTTATATAAACAGTGTTCATACTGCAGTTATTCAAACATATGTCTCACGTCATAAGATAATAACATATTCAGACATATAATGCAGTTATTACATAGTATTAAAATATCTACATATATCAGGTTCCATGCATAAATACTTCATAGAAGGACGACTAAAAACCATGCACAATTTTTATGACCGATAAGGAACGTGGAGGGATGATTCATAAGAATGCTACTGCATTGATGCAATAATGGTTTCCGCGAGTGCTGTCACTCTATCCATTTCCTTGGAACACACTACACTTGGCGCGTGACACGCCAATGAAAACTAATCAGTTGGTGAGGTCACCTCCATCTCTGCTTGCCACGTCAATTTCTACAGATAACTCCCTGGGCATGAGTGGTTCACCTGGACAGACTTCTGCTCTTGGGAACTCACGAACACTGCTGATCGCGAAACCGTGTGCTGTCGCTGGGCCTCGTGAATTCGCTCTGATTTGCGAGATTCTGAATTTGTTACTCAGATCGTTCTTGCGTCGCCCACAAACCAGGTGATTGCTTCACGAAAGAACAGGCAGTCGCTGTTGTTCGCGGATCGCAACACCCTTGACAAAAACATGCACATTCACGCGCCGTCATTTCCTCCACTTGGGCTCTCTCTCCTTGCCTTTGTGCCCCACTTCGTAGCACTTGTGCTCCGCTGCATTCAATATTACAATAAAGCTTTTACTTGAAAGCCTTCCGCTTCCTACGCTTGACACGGCCGTATTCCTCCGCTCCGTGTGTCACGTTTGTCGCTAACTCGCCCGAGAATTTAGGAAGCACCCGCTTACCTCTCTGAGCCAAGTCGTACTCTCAGTTTCTCCCCTGCATTCGCTAATGGCGCTTCATTCCGTCTCTGCGGCCTGCATTACTTCTGCCGCCTCGCCGTCCCCTTCCCTTCATTCCTCATCATCCCTCCATTGCTCTTCCTCTGACGTCACCGCATCCATCGCTTTCCTCGGTCAGCCGTGGACCTCCCGCCCTGACCGCGTTTCGGCCTTGTGCGCTTTCTGCAAGAACCTTTCTCGTCCTCGCAATGACGGTTCGAGCCGCGACGACCTCTCAAGTCGCGCCGCTTTCTCCAACTGCTCTTCTCGACACCCTTCGACGGCGTTACTCCCATGCCCGGGTGGGGGACTCCCCGGTCCGCAGGCGCTCCTATCGACCCGCGCAAGTGCCGCCGCCGACGCCGCTTCCGCTGCCACTCTCCCCGAGCAGCAGCAGCAGCAGCCGCGGAGGCGCCAGAACCAGCAGACCCGAGGAGGCGAACCGGGCGCCGTGGAAGGAAGACAGGGCGCGGGGCAGTCTCGGAGCGACGGAGGCGGCGGCGGAGGCGGAGGCGGAGGCGGAGCGACCAGTAGGTTCAACTCGCGCGGCCGACGAGGCGGCGAAAGCGGCGCAAACGCCGGGAGCTTCGCAAGAGGCCGTGGCGGCGGTTACAGTAACGGTAACGGTAACGACTCACCGCTGGCGACGCTGACGCGGGTGTCGTCATGTCTGGCGGCGCTGCGAGAGGCGAAGCAGCAATGGGTGGAGGAGCGACGTCGCAGAGCGTCGCAGGCGAAAAAGAAGAAGGCGAAGAATTTGCTCAAGAGCAAAGAGGGAGCCGCGGACCAAGATTCTGGAGGCGCGGGCGTCGACGAGCCCGTCGCTGCTGCGCCCGCCGTCGGCGCCGCAGCCGCCGCTGACGCCGACGCTACTGATGCTGTCGCTTCCGCCGCTGCTTCTCCCGCCGCTTCTCCCGCCGGTACTCCCGCCGCTTCTCCCGCCGGTACTCCCGCCGCTGACGGCGTAGCCGATGCGACCAGCACACCTCCCGAGACGCTCGAGTCCGTGGTGTGGCCGATTCTGGACCAATCAGAGCGCGAGTGGGCGCAGTCTGACGTCATCCTGGTGCTGAAGGAGCTCGGCGCGCAGCGCGACGAGCACGACCTGCTGGGGGCGGTATTCACGTGGCTGCAGCACGTTGAGGGCACGAGCAAGGAGCTCGAGGCGGGGGTTCGCGCGTACACGACGGTCCTGGCTGCGTACGGGAAAGCAGGTGAGCAGTTTCGTGCGAGAAGCGACGGCGCGTCGGCTTTTTTTTCTTCTTCTTCTTTCCGCTTCGGCGATTATTTGCGCTTTGATTATTTTTTTCCTGTCGAATGGCGGCTGATGGTTTCGAAGCCCGAAACCTCATTGATGGTAACAGCCAGTGAGTGCAGCAAGCAACAACCATGTTGCCTCCCTGAACACGACACTTCACAATAATCAATTACCGTTGACGAATGAGACCCGTCACACGCCGCCATTAACCACTGATACGTCTGTAACGTCGACATACATGCCGACGCGCGACGACGCGCGCAACCACCAGGGAACGTGGAGCAGATGGAGGCGGTGGCGCGCGGAATGGAGGCGCGCGGAGTGCCCCCCGACCTGTTCACGTACAACGCGCTCATCGGCGGGTACGCGCGCGCGGGGCGGTGGCGCGCGGCGATCGGCGTGTACAAGCGCGTGCGCGAGGACGAGATGGTGGAGCCGGACCGCGTGACGTGCGTGGAGATGGCGATGATGCTCGCCGCCGCCAAGCAGCCCATCCCGCTGCGCGCCGTGCTGGACGACATGCTGGTGAGTGGGCGAGCGAGCGAGGGAGAGATGGAGAGAGGGAGCGAGTGAGGGAGAGAGGGAGAGAGCGAGCGAGTGAGGGAGAGAGGGAGAGAGCGAGCGAGTGAGGGATAGAGGGAGAGAGGGAGAGAGCGAGCGAGTGAGGGAGAGAGGGAGTGAGGGAGTGAGCGAAAGAGCGAGTGAGGGAATGAGGGAGTGAGCGAGTGAGGGAGAGGGCGAGTGAGCGAGTGAGCGAGTGAGGGAGTGAGCGAGTGAGGGAGAGGGCGAGTGAGCGAGTGAGCGAGAGAGCTACCCGGGAGGAAGGGCGGGGGGGGAAGGAGGGGAGGGGAGCGGGACCGCGCAGGAGACAAGACGAGACGAGACAAGACGAGATGGTGGAGCTGAACCATCTTGTTTGTGCAGTGCATGCATGAGTGATGGTGTCGCTACAATCACAAACCCACCATCCACGTCCTCGCTCGGTCTCCCCCCCTTACATTCCCCCATAATTCACCCACTCTGTATCCCCTTTCCACCTCGTTTTCCCTCCTCCCTCTTCCGCCCTCTTCCGCTACACCTTTTCCCCGCTCCTTCGCGCCTTCCCCCTTCCCCGTCTTCCCCCTTACCCCTTCCCCCCCTTCCCATTCCCCTCCCTCTCTCCCCCTTCCTTCCCCCCTCTCCCCTTGCCCCTCCCCCTCTCCCCCCAGGCCCTGCGCATCCCCATGGACGCCAAGCTGCTGGAGCGCGCACCTTTAGACTCAACAATGCCCCCATCCTTCCCCCTTGCTCAACCCCTTCCCCCCCAACCCCCCCCTCGCCTTCCCCCTTCCCCCCCAACCCCCCTCGCCTTCCCCCTTCCCCCCCACCCCACCCTCCCCCCCAGGCCCTGCGCATCCCCATGGACGCCAAGCTGCTGGAGTGCGCATGTGAACAAGCACCCCATCCTCTTTACAGCCCAAAACCCACCCGCTCCCCCTTCCCCCTTCCCCCTTCCCCCTTCCCCCCTCCCCCTTCCCCCTTCCCCCCTCCCCCTCCCCCCAGGCCCTGCGCATCCCAGTGGACGCCAAGCTGCTGGAGCGCGCAGTGCCAGTGCTGGCGCGGGGGGGCGAGCACGCCGTCGTCACCGCTCTGCACCGCTCTCTGTGCCAGGAGGGCGTGAAGCTGCCCGCATCCCTGGCGGTGGCGTGCATTAACGCGTATGGCGCGCTGGGCATGCCGCAGCATGCGGAGGGGGTGTTCCAGGTGAGAGGGGGGGGTTGAGGGGGGAGTGTGAAGGTGGGGAATGTAGAGAATGAAGGGGACCGGGGAGATGAGGGGGAATGGGGGGAATGCAGGGGGTTGGGGGAGAGAAAAATGGTGGGAAAGGGTGGCGAACGGAGGGTTGGAGTATTAGCAAGGAAGGGAGGGAAGACGATGTATAAGGAAAGGGGGTTTGGGAAATGCAGAGCTGCCAGCAGATAAAGGGCCTCTTTGTCTTCTCTTCTCCTCAGTACCCCGGCTCTCCCTCTCAAATGTCCTTCGTATCGATTTTCCCTCCCTTCCTCCGTACTCACTCCCTCACTCCCTCCCTCCAAAAGACAGTCGCGCGGCAGCAGGGGCGGGTGGAGGGCAGACGGCTGTACGTGGGGCTGGTGAGGGCGCACGCGAGCAACTTAAGTGCTGCCGCCTCTCGTCTCCCCCTCACTCCATCCCTCCCTCCCTCCTCCGCTCCCTCCCCCTTCCCTCCTTCCCTTGCTGCACTGTGCCCCTTTCCCCTTCAGGCGCTGCGGCAGCAGCAGGGGCGCGTGGAGGACAGGCGCGTGTTCGTGGGGCTGCTGAGGGCATACGCGAGCAACGGGCAGATGCGCGAGGCGGAGGGCGTGGTGCAGGACATGCTGCAGGGGGACGTGCGCCCCTCCACTGGCTGCTTCCTCGCGCTGCTGGACGGGTGGGTTGTTGGTGGGGAGGGGGCAGTGGGAGAGTGGAGGGGAGAGCGCGGGAAAGTGGGGGAAAGTTGGGGGAATTGGGGGAGACTGCGGGAACCGGGGGGAGGGGGGGGAGGAGGGAGTGCTGCAGGGGGGCGTGCGGCCCTCCACTGGTTGCTTCCTCGCGCTGCTGGACGCGTGGGTGTGGCGGAAAAGGGGGGAAGGAAATGGGTGAGTCTGGGGAAGTTTTTTCTTGAAATAGCAGAGGGTGTCCCGGAACGATTATTTTCTCTGAGAGAGCTGCAGCTTATGTCCTCCCCATGTGCTTATGTCCTCCCCCTCTTGCCACTTACCTCTTTTCCTCCCTCTCTCCCCTCCCCCATTCTCTCCCTCCACTTCCCACCCCCATCCCCCAACCCCCATCCTACCCGCCCTCCACTTCTCCTCTTCCAGCTACACCCGTCTGGGCGAGTTCGGGCTAGCAGAGGGAGTGCTGGAGTACACGAGAGAGCTGCAGCTCACACAAGACCCCTCACCCGGCTCTACCCGCTTGGCCCCCTTCTCCCCTCTTTTCCCCCTTCTCCACCCCGCCATTTCCCCCTCCCCTCCCCTCCCCGCAGCTACACCGGCCTGGGCGAGTTCGGGCTAGCAGAGGGCGTGCTGGAGTACATGCGGGAGCTGCAGCTCACACCCGACCCCACTCCCCGCTCTCCCCGCGTTCCCTTTTCTCCCTCCCACCCTTCCATTTCCCACTCCCCTCTCAGCTACACTCGTCTGGGTGAGTTCGGGCTAGCAGAGGGAGTGCTGGAGTACATTCGAGAGTTGCAGCTCACACCCGACCCCTCGCTGCACCTGGCGCTCATCTCCGCTTTGAAAGGCAGATGCACTGACTCGTTGCTGAATCATTTCGGATTTCCTCTCCATTTCCTTTCCCCCTCCCCCTCTCCTCCCCCCCTCCCCTCCCCCCTTCTCCTCCGCCTCCCCTCCCTCCCGCCCCTCGCACCCTCTCCCCCTCTCAGCTACACCGGCCTGGGCGAGTTCGGGCTAGCAGAGGGCGTGCTGGAGTACATGCGGGAGCTGCAGCTCACTCCAGACCCCTCCCTGCACCTGGCGCTCATCTCCGCGTATCTCTCCGCCTCCCATCCTGCATGGGCGCACTCCGCCCTCTGTGACCTGCTGGCGGAGCACCCAGCTTTCCAGCCGCCTGTGGAGGTGGTTGAGGGGATCATGGCGGGGTATTTGGGGGGGGATGGGGAGGGGGGAGTGGCGGAGGGGGGAGTGGCGGAGGGGGGAGTGGTGGAGGGGAAGGGAGAGGGCGTGGGTTCTGATGGAAGCAGTCCCGCGCCTGCTGCTGCTGCTGGTGCTGCTGACTCCCCTGCTGCTGGTTCTGCTGCAGCGGCAGCAGCAGCAGAGGCGGTGTTGCAGGTGGCGGTGAAGCGAGGCGTGAAGCCCTCTAACGCGTGCCGGCAGCTGCTGCTGCGCGCACGGTTAGTGCAGGCGGAAGGGGGGGAGAGGGGCACGGGAGACGGGGGAGAAGAGAGAGGGGATGGAGGGGAGGGAGGGGAGAGAGGAGTTGAAAAGGGGGAAGGGAAAGGGGGAGCAGTGAGTGTGGTGGAGGAGGCTGAGGATGCTGCTGGTGTGAAGGTAGCAGAGGAGAGTGCAAAGGCTGTGAAGGCAGCAGGGAGAACTGCAGAGATGGCGGTGGGAGGGGAGAGCGCTCCGAATGGAAGGGCCAAAGGGAAGACTGCAGCTACAGAGGTGCAAGTTGAGAGCGCAGCAGTAGCAGGTGTAGAGGAGAGCACTGTTGCTGCAGTTGCAGCTGCAAAGAAAAGCACTGTTGCTGTTGAGAAGAGTACAGTTGCAGCAGAGGAGAGCGCAGTAGAAACTGCAGTGGTGTTACAGACGGAACTGGATACAATTGCCATTACAGGGGAGGCAACAGCGACCGCATTGCCTGCCACAGCCGCAGAGGTGACTGAAAAGGCAGCAGCTGTAAAGGTGACTGAAACAGCAGCAGCTGTAAAGGTGACTGAAACAGCAGCAGCTGTAAAGGTGACTGAAAAGGCAGCAGCTGTAAAGGTGACTGAAACGGCAGCAGCTGTAAAGGTGACTGAAAAGGCAGCAGCTGTAAAGGTGACTGAAAAGGCAGCAGCTGTAAAGGCGACTGAGGCAGCAGCTGCAGCGTTGACTGAAAAGGCAGCAGCTGTAAAGGTAACTGATAAGGCAGCAGCTGTAAAGGTGACTGACAAGGCAGTAGCTGTAAAGGTGACTGAAAAGGCAGCAGCTGTAAAGGTGACTGAAAAGGCAACAGCAGCAGAGAAAATGGCAAAACCTGCAGAGTTGACAGAAAAGGCAGCAGCTGTAGAGGTGGGAGGTGTTCTCTCTAGCACAGAAGCTACTGAGCAGACAGGGGAGGAGTCATTGCTGCAGAGGCTCGAAAAGGGATTGACGGTTGGGGAGGAGCAGGTGGTGGCTGAGCTGGAAGCTGCGGGGTTGGTGGGAGGGGAGGAGAGTGAGGAAGGGACTGTGGGACGGGTGGCGGCTGGTGGTGGTGGTGGGCCTGCTGCTGTGATGACTCTGTGGAAGGTGTGGATCGTCGTTCTCTCACACTCTCCTCCACACTCACATGCACTCTCTTTCCTTTCCCCTTTCCTTCTCTGGCTCTCTCCCTTTCTACCTCGTCCACCTCCCGTCCCCTCACTCTTTCCAGTACCACATGCTCTTCTGGATATCTTTCCATGTTACTTTGCCAATACAAGAGCTCGTTTTTCTCTCTCTCGCCTCCTGTCATCAAGTGCGACATGCACCTTGAAGTGATGCAACACTACTACCATATGATTGCATCTTGCCTTGCCACATTGGAAAGAGACACAATATACTCCACTCCATACACCCACCATGCATTGCACGTGTTCAGTCTCATGGCATTACCCTCTTTCTATCGCTACCAGATTCTACGCTCGCTCTTTGCCAGCTCATCTCACGTCATCCTTCCCGCTCCTTGTTTGCTTTCCCTGTCTGCTGCCCTCCGATTTCCCCTTCTCCCTCTCCACCCGTTTGCACTGAGCCACCTGCAGTCTCTCCAGAGCATCCCCACCTTTCAGCCAACACTGGCCATGTTTGTTCCAGTCATCAAGAACAGGGCTTTAGCTGGAGATTTCTCCTCCCTCTGCTCGATTATGGCTGACCTAAGGGGGCTTGGGCTCACTCCGTCTGATCAGGTATTTGCTGCGTTGCGACTGGCGCCTCTAGAGAGCGCTGGTGCTAAAAAGAGTGCTGCTGTAGCGAGTATGACTGTGACGGAAGCGCCTGAAGAGGTGGCTTCGGACGGTGGGGGCAATAAAGGGGAAGGTGGAGACGGAGGTGGTGTGAAACAGGGAGTGAGTGGGAAGGGAAAGTACAGGAAGAGTGCTTCTGGGAAGAAAGATGAGAAAGGAGAGGAGGGTGTGCGTGGTGAGAATAGAGAAGGGAAAGCTGCGGTTGTTAAGAGGGAGGTGGAGGCTGGAGGGAAAGCTGAGGCTGTTGAGCAGAGGGTGGAGGCAGGTTTGCAGGAGGAGAAAGCTGAGCATGCAGTACAGAAGGAGAGGCGGGAGATAGTGGAACCCATGAAAGTGGTTGCAGAAGAGGGGAAAGGACAAGCTGAGATTGTGGTGAGTGTGGGGAAGTTCTCGGTAAAAGGAGCAGACGAGACAGGAAAAGCGAAGAAGCGCCACGATACCAAAAGTGATAGGAAGGATAGGAATGGCACGGAGAAGACAATGCAAGCGGAAAAGTTGGATGTTGGTGCAGCAGAAAAGCATGGAGTACCAGGAAAGGAGGAGGCTTGTGAAGGAGTGGGAGGACACGAGGATGAACTGGCAAGTAAAGTAATGGAGACTGAAACAGAAGCTGGGGACGCAGTTAAGCCACCAACTACCCAAGAGACTCCCTCACAAGAGGTTCTATTGTATGAAGGAAAGCGAGAAGCTATGGCAGCAGCAGCCCTGACAGAAGGTACGGCAGTCGGAAAGCTGGAACTGGTCAATCAAGGGGATGTAGAGGTATCTACAATTCCTTCAGCTGGTGCTGTTGCGGGTGATCATGACTCTGCGGCTTCTAGTGTGAGTGGGAGGGGAGGAGAAACAAGGCAGGAGCAGGATGCTCAATATATGGCAGCTGGATTTTCAGAAGAGTTGATGGGAGGCACGAGTAGTGGTAATGAGAAGGCGGGGAAGGAAAAAAATGCGAGGAAACGGGATTTGGAGAAGGTTGGCTTGGGCAAAGGAGCCCTTGCGAATGTGAAGGGATTTGGAGCTTGGAGTAAAGCAACCAAGAAGGCAGGCAAAGGTTGCGGCAAGACCAGTGGCAAGGGGGCAGGGCTGACGTTTCAAAAAAAACCACTCTGATTTTTTCGGGGGTAATTCTTTTTTTAGTCTGAGGCATATTTTCCTAAGAATGTCTATTCTGATTTTCCAAGATCCACACAAGTACAACTCTGAAGACGTCAGAGTCGAGGATAAAAAATCATACCAAGGAAATGTCGAAGGGATTCGCTTGGTATAGTTACAGAGCAGATTCTCGCTGGTGATTCGGACTTGACTGGACTTGACTGGTCACAGCAAATTCTCGCTGTCACCGCAAATTTGCTGTAACACACCAGATTCGCGCCGTCAGATGCACAACAATTCGCCCAATCACAGAAACATCGCCTTGGCACAGCAGATTCGCGCCGTCACAGCAGTACAAATTCGCCCAATCATAGCAAATTCGCCCTGACACAGCAGATTCGCCCTTTCACATCTCAACAGAATTCACCCGACACAACAATTTCGCCCTGGCACAGCATGTTTTGCCCGTAGGTAAGGATTCGCATTTCAGATTCCGTACTCTCTGTAGTCTGAAGACTCTTTATCCGTCAAGTCAGTAGTCTGAATTTTTCAGTATTCGAAAATAACTAAGTCTGAAGTACTCATGATTGAAAATCTGACAACTCTGAAAAATCAGGATTCCAAGGAAAAAAGGTCTGAGATTTCAGACAATCAGACTAAAATGGTCTGATAACGTCAGCCCTGCAAGGGGGTTAGAAAAGAGAAGAAACTGAAGGAAGACGTGGAGGCCAAGATTGCTACTGAAGCAGCACAAAAAGAGACAGTTGTGGAAACCGTGGCCTAGTAACTGTAACTGCTGATGCACAATTCAGACCATCCTTGGTTGGACTTGAAATAGTTCAAATATTTTTGTGGTGCCAACTGATGCAGTGACACATGGAGATCAGCCAAGTTGATTCGATTTTACCAGTGTAATACATGACACCATCACTTTGTTCTCATCTTTCTGCATGCTCAAGTACCTAAAACAGTGTCACCGAATATGCAAGCACCCCACATAATGCAAACCCCAGAATAAGGGCAAGGTACTTGGATGAAATTAGAAGCTTGCTCTTTTTGTCTGGAGGAAAAGATGGCACCATGTCTGGTACACTGCATGCTTGGCCATTAACAACCACCTCAGATGGAAAGAGACTCCTGACATCCTTTGATGAGTAATTGAAGTACATGCCGGAGCCAAACTGCAAGAACATCAAACATACCGATTAATCTCGCACGTCCGGACAATCACACTATAATTCCCAAAACACAACACAGTAGGAGTTTGCTTTCAACCCAAACACAATACTGTACCTTAATTACAGACTGAACATTTCCCAGGACTTTTGAGTTTGGAGCAGTTCTCAACAACCAATTGTTGCTATACTCATGCCCCCAAAACAGAGCAGTATCATCTGCAATGAATAGCCAAAGAAAATTAGTCAATGAGAAGGTAAGAGTGTAAAGAAAATAGTCAGGCTACAGTAGTGCCACCCACGGGAAATTGTTGCGTTGTTAAAAGAATACACTGCTGAAACGTTGTCAAGGGTTGGCATCCTCACCACAGCGAACCATTCAGGTATGCTTGTATTCTCCCTGTTAGCAATAGTCAACTGGAGAGAATAACACAAATAAGGCACAACTTTATGACGACTCAGAGCTAAAATCGTGGAATCTGAGGGACAAAAAGAAGAAGCAATAATGAGATAAACAAACCTTTGCAACAAAGCCTTCCTGGTAGTAGTCCACAATGTGCCAGTGAACGTGTGATGTACAGTTGTCACTGCACTTGGAAGATATCGCCTCTGTGTCTGTGCTTTTTGTGATTGACTTCAGAATCATCAAGTCCCCTGCTCGCCCAACTTGTTCTACAAACGAAGGGATACTCAGTTGGTAAAGAAAACAAGAAAAGTAACACAGGGATGACCAAGTCTTACCTCGAAGACACTTTGCATCCCCCAAGGCAGTGGGGTAGGAATTGCTTTGATTCGAAAAACTTGACGATCCTTTGGTTATGTTGCACCCACATGCACACTTCGCACATGGTACGACATATGGCGTCCCAAAGCTAGTGGTGTTGTAGGATGCAGAAAACGAGACACAGCATGCTGGCTTTTCAGTCTTAGCATTTCTGTTACAGACGTAGCGCCATGATGATACTGCAGTCTTGTTTCGGCCTGCATCCAGCTGTGACGAAACGTGAACAGTTGCACTTTTAGAAAAAATGAAATCCCTTCTCTAAATACCTGAAACACAGAAGACTGGAGTTTTTCTGCCCCACTGCATGTGAACCCTGGTAGACCAACTGACATATTTCTTGGTGGGACCACATTCTCATACCCTTTTTTCGCCTTAGCCCGCCCTACACGCATTCTGAATTGGGCCACACTTGAATTACCCTGCAATTCCAAGACGTGGTCAGGTGGGGAAGCTCTCACCACTATGGCAGGAAAAGGCTGGAAGTATACCTTCACAGTGAAAAAGGCAGGATCTCCACTTGGGAAAGATGGCATACCCAAAGTACCATTCTTGCAACACGAGAGTTGCAGGTTGAAAACTGCTGGTTCCGGATAGCTTTCTTGAGAGTATGACTGTAGTGGCAAGTCCACAAACGTCGGCTTCTTTCTACACGTGTGCGCTGTCTGAATATCAGGCCCATAAACATCAGCTAATGCAGACTCGATGCAGTTTCCCGCATCTGTTGCTTGAGCTCCCTTAACCTCCCAAACAATCTGGACGAAGTGTTGTAGAAGGGCGAAAACGATAAGAGTACTTAGAAGTAAATAGGGATAACTGGATCAAGGATAGACGGCAAATGCAACAAGACGGCATCACCTCGTTTTGTTGCCACATCCACGATAGCCCCCACCCTGGGGAGGAAACCCGGCGATCTTGCTGCTTGTTGTAAACTGAAACGAGAACCCAGTAGTACATGGTGTCGACCCATGAAACGTCATAACGAACTTCAATGTCCTCAGCGCCTAATATTCCTTGAGGTGGAGGGGGTGGAGGCGGTGGACTGATGACTGCACTCTCTTCACAACAGACCTGAAGACTCCGATCAGATGGAAATTGTGGAAAATCCCTCTGGCACTTGTAGCCTGAACTTACAGGTTGTGAGTATTTAAAAGTATAACCCAACAATCCAAACGAATTGAGCATTCAATTTAATATTTACCGGGATTGATAAGGTACAAGGTTCGAGGTAGCGCTTTTGGAGGAGACGACGCTCCATACTCTGTTCCAGAGATGCTAGCGTTGACCGAATACAAAGTAGAATCACCCCCAGCATGAATCGCTGTGACAATAGTATCGCTAAGCTCGGGAATGCCGGATATGATAAGGTTCTTTCCTGCAAAGAATGTACGCGACGATGTAAATGTGCTGCAGAAGACGGAAAGGCTCACTCAGATCGTACCTGGGTATGGAAGCTCAGGTCCAACTTGAGCGTACTTGATAGCTGTGATTAGCTCGTTGTGAGTAAACTCAATGATAACGTCCCACCCTTTCACATCCCTGTTTTATTCATATTAGCTTCGGCAGGTAAAGTAGTCAACACGACGACAAAAGACGGTTGGTACCTTAGGCCAGAATTTTGAAGCACCAACGTGGCTCTGAATCCGTAAGGTTGCAGGGTTCCATTCCAGACGGATGGAATAGATATTACTTGCTGAATAGAATAGCTGACTGTAACTCCAAGGCAAGGACGAGGTGCGCTGGGAGCTCTCATTCCACCATCTGAAAGGCTTGAAAATCAAAATGTTGCCGCCTTCAAGCTCAAGCCAGAGAACGAAGCTTGCTCAGCTCACCTATCTTCTGAGCCGAAATGGAGGTAACAATGATGCCGAACAAGATAAAGAGGGAGCCAGTGACATAGCTCCAACCCGTTATGTGCAATGCCATTGCCAGAATGAAGCCCGCATGTGTATCAAGCAGCAAAATCGTCCTGACGAAGTGAGATCAGAGAACCAGACAGAGTATTCTAAAATGCAGTGGTCACAATTCAGCGACCTACATTTCAGCAACAGAAGTGTTTTGGATTCGGGTCAATTTCGAGTTGGGCCTACAAAGCCCCACTTTGGGTCCATGAACCCCCGATTTGCCTGGTCAGAATCATGGATTCGCCACTTCGGGTCGTCCGACTTCGTGTCAAGCAACGAGACCCGAAGTCTGACACGAAGAACGATTTCATTTTCCTAGCTTAGGGTATAACAAAAAAAAGGTAGACCTAAAACTAGAAAATAATGTAGATCAGCGATATACGGATAATCTTTTATCTACAATTAACAAGCTTGCCTCTACACATTGTTATCCATGCACGTTGGAAAGGTAGGCCTACTTTCTGAACGGTCGAGCTTGATAACAGTATTGTACGAGATGAAGCCAAGAAAGGTCTATGGAATTTAAATATTTCCTTAACAATTTGGATAGGTGTACTCTACTCTTTCCCCGTTTGTGTTTCCGTTCGCGCCAAACCTGTTTCCCCCCAAAACCTCCCTACCCCAGAGACGTCACGACCACGGCTGGTTTCTTCATATCCACGCCATTCAAACATCCGAATTTATTACGAGTCCGAATGGGGTCCGTCCGTTCGTCCGTCCTTAGTTATCAGGCAGAAGTACGAGTGCCAGAAACAAGCACATAGCAGTCAACCATGGCGATGGTTGTGAGTACATTACGGTTTTACAGAAGCGAGGGCGGCTGATGCTATCTGTTTCCTTTCGATTACTGCTAGGAGTTTTTCTGCTCATTGTTGTTTCTTCCTTTTCTACTCTTTCCCCCTTGTTAATATCATTTGGTCGGAAGTGTGGCGCAAGCCTAGCTAACTCGGCGGTCCTGTACTTTGTTTTCTCTCTTGTTAAATCAGATCGGTCTCAGACGACAAGTCTATCGATTGTCACATTTTCTAGAAGCTTTGTCTAAACTCACTAGCCCATAACTCGTTCAACCGCTCTCGTTGAGCCTTTTCCTCCGTTCGCCTGTGGTTGTCGCGTCGAATTTATTCCCGTTCCTTTCCACGCCAAAATCCTTCTCAATCTCAACACAATGGAAGAATCACGACTTGGCTTTTCGCTTTTCCAGACAGATTCTGCCCAATCCCCGCTTTACACGTTGCGCATGCCATACTCTACCAGTTCCAGCCCGCATAAGAGTCCCGCGACGACGTCTGCTGACTTGGAGTCCACGTCATGCGTGTCACTCGATTTATCTGTTCCTTCCTGGTGGCTTCCCGTCGCCCATGAAATTGCTTTCGCCGGTGACGCAGCAGATTTTACGGAAGTCAAGGCGACGGAGGCACGAGCAGCTAAAAACGACAGCGATTGCGACGAGTGCTTTCTAGTGCTTGGCGGGTCTGTTGTTGACGGGGAGAGGCGACAGGCCGTGCCGGTTACTCGCCTTGAATTGCTCAACGAGCGCTTGCAGATGATCGAACGGCGCGCGGGCGCGCTGGATGAGCTCCTGGTGGCGATCCGGCGGCTGGCGGAGAATCTAAAAGCGTCGCGAGGCTCAGGAGTCTCGGAGAAGGGTGGAGAAGATAAGAAGAAGGAGGAGCACGGGAGAAGGAGCGGGAGTCCAGGGGAAGACGTTGAAGGGAATGGGGGGGGTTCAGAAATGGAAGTTGACAGTGACGGAGGGCTTGATGGAGCTGATGATAACGATGATGATGATGATGATGATGATTACGGTTTTGGGGGTTCTGATGATGAGGATGCGATGGAGGAAGAGGAGGAGGATGCGGATGACGACGACACCTTGTATGGATACGACGCGTTTCTGGAAGAAGATGATGGTACTTCGTGTGTCAAGGACGACGGCGAGGAGGGCCCGGATTGGGAATGGGGAATGGGACGGTTCCACTGCGTCTCATCAGCTCCTTCATCGACTGGAGGTTCCGGCACTGGCGCGGATGGCCTATCCTTGATAGAAGCAGAGGCGTTGCAAGCACAGGCTGCGTGCCACGCCGCTTTTTCTGCTGCGCGCAGAGGCAAGAAGAGCCGGCCAAGTCCAAGAGCGGACCAGGACGAGCCATGGCAGCTGGCGCAGGGGGGGGGAGGAGGAGGAGCAGGAGGAGGCGGAGCGCGTTTTGCGGTGGTGCTCGGTGCGGAGCATGGGCAAGCGCGGCTTTGTGCGGTGCCAGATGGAGGTGGGCGGTGTGGTGAGCAACGTCAGAGCACTCGCAGCCCTGGGCCTCTCTACCGCCTCTCCCATCGTCATCACCCTGTACTTCCCCGACCATGCCTGGCGCCTCCGCTCCTCGCACCCACACCAGCAGCAGCAGCACCAGCACCAGGCGCAGCACCATCACCAGCGGCGGCAGCACAGTGGTGGGGAAGAGGCGGCGTCCTTTCCAGAGCCTTCCCGCGTGGTGGTGTCGCAGCCAGCGGCAGAGGCAGGGGAAGGAGGAGAGCCGGGCAGCAGCAAGGGGGAGCAGAGGAGGCAGCGGCGGCAGGTTCTGATGCGAGTTCTTCTGGAGCAGTGCGTGGGGCACGCGAGGAGCATCAGCAAGGAGTCCCTTGTCACTCCCATCTCCGCCGCTGCGGCTGCTGCAGACGCTGCCATTGCTAGCAGCAACAGCGGCAGTGGCAAGGGTGGCAGCGCAGGGAGCGCCAGTGCTTTATCTGGGATGAGCGAGGCTGCTATGCGTAACTTGTTGAAAAGGCTGGGCGGTTCGGAGCAGGCGAAGACCGAAGCAGCAGCATCCGGCGCTTCATCCTCTTCTGCGTCAACGCGGGTGGGGGAAGGGTGGAGTGTGCAGCAGGCATTGGAGGCACGGGTGATGCAAGTGGTGGAGCAGGCAGACGAGCGTGCGGGGCTGGAGGCAGCATGCCGAGTGGGTGTTGACTCTCTTGTTCCTGCCGCTGTCACCGCCTTCTTTAATGCCCGCAACTCGCACGGGGGGGAAACGGGAGCAGGAGCGCGGGGTAAGAAGGGAGGTCTGGGGAACGCGTTTGTGGGGCTGCTGGTGCACGTGGCGAGGCAGCTGCAGGCGGTGTGTGAGAGGTGCGTGATCTGCGGGCAAGCGCTGGCTCTCAAGACGCAGCGCGTGCGGCCGTGTACGAACGACTTCTGCCTATACCGCTTTGAAGAACTGGGTCTGGCGTCAGACATTCTCTCTGAGCTGCGATCGCTCCCCCTAGCCGTGCATCTGGACGTTTCTCTTGCTCTCGCAGCCGCCCAGGCCAGCAATCGGGATGTTTTTGAGCCCTTCCCGTCGTTCCTCCTCTGCTCCGCGCAGCAACTCCGCGGCCGCTCCGGCTGGTTCTCCTCCCAACCCGCTGCCACCACCGCCGCTGCCACCGCCGCTGCCACTGCTGCCACTGCTGCAGCCGCCACCGCAACCACTGCTGCTGCCACGGCCAGCGGTGCAGTGGGAGGTGGAGTGGGCGGAGTGAGAAGGGGAATGAGCACGGGAGAGGAAGGGGGGGAGAGGGGCGGAGTGCACAACAAGCGGCTGCCTGTGCTGTCCAGCGTTTTGCAGACTCTTCCTCCTCTGGCTGCCCTGCAGCAATGCGAGTCGGAGTGGGAACTGAAGGTGCTCCTCGCTGCGTGCTGGATGATCCGCTCTGCTGCTGTGCGCAAGGCCTTAGAGGCAGAGGAGGCTGAGAAGGCTAAGGTTGAAAAGGAGGCGGAAGAGGAGGGTGGAAGGGCGAAAGCTGACGGCGTGGCAGCAGGATCAGCAAGGGCAGGGGTAGAAGGCAAGGGAGATGGGGGAATTGGTGCTTCGGAAGCAGGAGCAGGAGCAGGAGCGGTGGGGCAAGGGGAAAGGGCTGCAGCAGTAGTGCCCACAGTTGGGAAGGCAGCAGCAGCAGAGTCGGCAGCGGGGAAGGCAGCAGCGAAGGGCGGAGATGGTGGGATGAGTGGGGAGCAACGGGTGCTGGCGGACGTGCTTCTGCCATACCGTGTGCTGCGATTCGTGGTGAGCACCAGCCGTCTCACTCTGCTCAAACTGGACGGCGCTCCACACACTACCAACCAACCCCCACAGCAGCAGCAGCAGCAGCAGCAGCAGCGCTCACAGGGCACCAGGCGCCAGAGCAAGCAGCAGCAGCTGCAGCAGCATTCCGAAGGCATCCCCTTGAGTTTGAACGAGCGCCCATCTCCTGCGACTTGGGGCGAAGGAGGCGAGTGGGCGTGTGCAGGGCTACCCCTCTCCGCGTGCCACCAGCTCGCAGTCTTTGCTGACGGTTGCCCCAAGCAGGCCCGCTTCGAACGCCTGCGCCAATCCAAGGGCTCCTTCTTTGCCTTCCACGGCAGTTCCACTTTCAACTGGTTCTCCATTCTCAGGAACGGGCTTCGCAGCATGAGCAACACAGGGTACATGTCTGCTGGGGCTGCGTATGGTTCAGGAATCTACCTCTCCCCGAATTTCGAAACCTCGTATGGTTATTCTGGGCGTGGGCATGCGGAGGGGAATGGGGGGGTTTGCTGTGTGGCGATTTGCGAGGTGGTGCATTCGCCTGCTGCTAGGGGGCGGCCATGGGAGAGCATTGCGCCAGGACATGGGAAGACGAGGGAGGAGCGAATGTATGATGAGGAAACGTTGGTGGATGAGGGGAATGGGGTTGGAAAGGACAGTCCAGGGGAGGGAGAGACAGGAATGCATGTGGATGGTGCTGCTGGTGCTGGTGGTGCCGCTGCTGCTTCGTCTGTTGGTGGTGCTGGTTCTGCTGCTGCTGCTGCTGCTGCTGCTGCTGCTGCTGCTGCTGCTGCTGCTGCTGCTGCTGCTGCTGCTGCTGCTGCTGCTGCTGCTGCTGCTGCTGCTGCTGCTGCTGCTGCTGCTGCTGCTGCTGCTGCTGCTGCTGCTGCTGCTGCTGCTGCTGCTGCTGCTGCTACTGCTGCTGGTTACCCTGGTCGTTACAGAACAAACCCCGGAGGTAGCACTGCAGGTCAGCAGCTGCAGCGTGGGAGTGGAATAGTGGTGGTGGATCCAGGGTATGAAGAGCATGTGTGCATACGCTTCCTCCTGCTACTCCCCCCAGGTTTCAACCCTGCTCAACATGCTAGGCAGGTGACAGCAGGCACGCCAGGAACAGGCTCAGCAGCAGGAGGAGCTGGTGCTACTGCTGCTGGTGGCGGGGGTGGTTATCCGAGGGGTAGTGGTTCTTTCTCCAGTGAAACTGGGATGAATATTACGGGGGGGCGGATGCTGCTGGGCGTGGATCTTAGGCAGACGCACGCTCGTGCGTTTGCGGCATGGCAGACGAGGCGGAGGGAGGCGTTTGAGAGGAGGCAGAGGGAGCGGCTGGCGGCTCTGGCGGGTGAACGGCCAGAGGAGGAAGAGATGAGGGAGAGGAAGTGGGAAAAGGAGAGGGAGAGTGAGAGGGAGAAGGAGAAGGAGAGGGAGAGGGAGAGGGAGATGGAGAGGGAGAGGGAGAGGAAGGCGCAGGAGCAGGTGGGCAAGCGGGGTGCAGGAAGAGCACCGGACACAAAGAATACGACTCCTGGAGCAACAAACGCAATTCAAAAGGAGTACCGAAACATGATGAGGCTCCAGGTGGGTGAGCGAGTTTGGATCTAGGTGGTTCTCATGAGGGAAGGATTGTATCTGAGGTGGTGTGGTAGGAATTTCACGGCTATCCTTTCTTCTTTGCGTGATAACACACCCACAGAAGGAGGGGTCGCTGACGTGTGTGTCTTTGTTCCTTATGTGGTGCTCGAGCCACAAAAACACACATTGCAGCCACACCCTGTATGGCTCACCTTTGGAATCACTATTGCAGCTCGCCTCCTCGACACACCACTCTCCAACCCCATCCCCTTTTCCCCCTTCCCATCCACCTGTACACAGGTCAAGGCGCCACAGCTTACTTATGCTCTCATTTCCTTTTGGCCTTCTCAACACAGAACAGAGCTTCATGCTCAACCCCTTTCATATCTCTCTCTCTCTCTCTCTCTCTCTCTCTCTCTCTCTCTCTCTCTCTCTCTCTCTCTCTCTCTCTCTCTCTCTCTCTCTCTCTCTCTCTCTCTCTCTACACCCCCTTTCCTCTCCCCATCCATTCCTCCACAGTCTCGAGGCCACAGCTCCCTGCCCACGGGTTCCTTCACCCTCTCTCTTCCCAACGAGGAAGACCTCTATGTGTGGCGCGTCCGCCTCTCCCCCCTCGTCTTCAAGGACACACCCTTCCACTCGGAACTAGCTCAGATCTGTGTTAGCACCACCGCCATTGATGGAGCTGTTGGCGCTGCTGGTGCTAGGGGCAGCAGCAAGCATGGGGTACAGGGGAGTGACGCAGATACAAGCTTTTCAGGAGCAGGAGAGGGAGCAGGAGCAGCAGCAACGGCATCACCAGCACAGGGGGCAGGGGTGGAACTGGAGATTCGGTTTCCGGGTGGGTTTTCCTTTGATCCACCGTTTGTGCGAGTGGTCTCTCCGCGCTTCGCCTTCCACACTGGTCACGTCACTGTGGGAGGTTCTATATGCATGGAGCTCCTGACCCAGTCTGGCTGGTCGCCTGCGTACTCTCTTGAGTCTCTTCTTGTGCAACTCATTGCAAACATGGCTGCAGGAGGAGCGAGGGTGGATCCACGATATGTGCGTGCAGGCAGGTGTGGGTGCAGGGATGGGCCCCACGCAGGCGGGTGCTATTCTCTTGCTGAGGCCAGGGATGCGTTTGTTCGGGTGGCTGGCCAGCATGGTTGGAAGGTGTGACGGGGGGAGGAGAGAGTGGATGGAAGGGGTGGGGGAGAGGAGAGGTTAGAAACAATTTTGGTTTTATTTGTGACTGGTTGGAACAGCGAGGTGGGGAGGGCTTGAGTGGTAGGTAATGGGCAAGGAGGGAGGGGGGAGATCTTGAGGTGTTTGATTTGTGACTGGGGAAGGTGTTGTCAGAACGGGCAAAGGGAGGGTGAGGGGAAAGACGAATGGTAGCCTGGGAGGATAAGTTTAGGAAGAAGGGGTTGTTTTCAAATTGTAATGTTTGCCTTAACTGACTTCAATTGTCAGCCTTTTCTCGGTAGTTCTCTAATGTCAAATACAATTAGGTTGCCTTCTTTTCAGACATACCGTAGTAAATGAAAGCAATCGTGAAGGAAAGGGTCAGTTGAAATCCGGACAGGCCGCGTCTTTGGCACCCATGGGTCGTCACTTCAATGACGCCGTCATTCGAGAGAACCTCGGGCCGTGTGGGGCTGAGCAAGGTGCAGCGGGAGGCATCGAACAGAGTGTCGTCTTCGTCTTTGTCGTCGTCGCGAAAATGTCTTGGCCCTGGGTGTGGATCGGTGGGATCCTGTTCGGGCAAGGGCTGCGGCGGCTTCGTCTTCAGGAGTGGCTAACAAGCCCAGCACCTGGCGCTCGCGCCGCTCCATGCTCACCATCGACAGCTACCGCGATCACCTCACTCCTCTCATGAAGGGGGCATTCTGCCTGTACCGCATGGTAACGGCACTCATCCCTTCTGGTTGCACTTTTCTCGTTCAACCACTGGACGTCTCCATCAACAAGAGCTTCAAGGCAGGTGTGCGGAGACGGTACGCGGAGTGGTTCCGAAGGTCGGCATCAACACGCGCACCAAGAAAGGTGGGTCTATTTCTCCATGTCAATGCAACCGAGTGTGTGCTGTTGCATGAATTCTTCCTCACTCGACCTACAGCACTAACCGTTTTCCCTCCCATCAACAGGCAACCTGAAGCGCCCTGAGAACGAAGTGGTGTTGAGGTGGATTGTGTTGGGCTGAGAAAAAGCCCTTAGGATCGTTTCAAGGCTAAGACTCGAGGTGATGGTGTAATTGCGGAAGCGTAATATGTCAAAGCATATGCATGTTATATATGTGTAGGCTGTAGTGGGGTAGCCAATATGGGGTACAACCCCTTTTAGGGTTTCATATTTGTACCCAATACTTTCATAGTCCAAGCATTCCTGCTGCTAGATTTTGACATGGTTTCAGAGCACTAGGTCCGTAGGACCGTTTTTTTTTCGGGCCCACCTACCGTTGCGGTTACCGCGCTACCCCACGTGTTGTCCTGCGCCTGCCTGCCTGCCTGCCTTGCCTTGTGACGTGCTGCGCTGCGCGCGCCGTCCTGCAGCCCTCGCGCTGCCTACTGCTGCCCTAGGCCAGAGCGCCGCCCCTGCAGGCCCGTAAGGCCCGCGCGCCGCCCCTGCAGACACGTCAGGCCCGCGAGCCGCCCCTGCAGGCCCGTCAGGCCAGAGCGCCGCCCCGCCAGGTCGCTGACGCGTCAGGCCAGGTCGCCGCCCCGCGCGTCGCGCCTACAGCCCGCGCGTCGCGCTGCAGCCCCGCGCGTCGCGTCCGCTGCCCGCGCGTCGCGCTGCAGCCCCGCGCGTCGCGTCCGCTGCCCGCGCGTCGCGCTGCAGCCCCGCGCGCCGCGGCTGCCGTCCTCGCGCAGCCCGCGGCGGCTTCGCGCGCCGCGCCCGCAGCTCGCGTAGCGCGCTGCAGCCCCGCGCGCCGCGGCTGCCCCTGTTCGTCGCGACGCCCCCCCCCTCCCCCCTGGACGCCGCCTCCCCCCCCTTCCTGACTGCCGCCGTCGCTCCTGCAGCAGCTGCCGCGGAGCGACCTGCCACAGTCGCGGCCCCGCCCTGCAGCAGCTGCCGCGGAGCCTTCTGCCGCCGTCGCGGCCCTGCCCTGCAGCAACTGCCGCGGCTGCCGCGGAGCCTCCTGCCGCGGTCGTGGCCCCGCCATGCAGCAGCTGCCGCGGAGCCTCCTGCCGCCGTCACGGCCCTGCCCTGCAGCAGCTGCAGCGGATCCTTCTGCCGCCGTCGCGGCCCTGCCCTGCAGCAGCTGCCGCGGAGCCTCCTGCCGCGGTCGCGGTCCCGCCCTGCAGCCGTCACGTCCCCGCCCTGCAGCAGCTGTCGCGGACCTGCCCTACCGCCGACGCGGCCCTGCTCTGCCGCAGCTGTCGCGGCCCCGCTGTCGCCGCCGTCGTGCGCCTGCCCTTCTCGCCATTGGTGAGCACCTGCCTTGTTTGCGCACTGCCGCGCCACCTGCCTGCCTGCCTGCCTGCCTGCCTGCTTGCCTGCCTGCCACGCCTGCCTGCCTGCCTGCCTGCCGCGCCTGCCCTGCCCGCTCTGCTGCTGCTGCAACTACTGCTACTGCTGCTACTGGCGGTGGCCAGATGCAGCTCCAGCGACGTTCACACGAGTCTCTCACGCCCCAGCAGCTTAGTGAGTGGTACGCTAGTTGGGGTTGTGGCGGTAGCCGTCGTAGCTGTCGCCCTGGAGCTGGTCAGTTGGGAGCGTCTGGCAGTGGCCAGCTACAGCTGCAGCGGCGTCCACGCGAGACACTTACGTCCCAGCAGCTTCACGAGTGGTACGCTCAGAGTAGAGGGTCTCGGAGTACCGTTCGCTGCCCGTACGTCATTCGCACAGGTGATCGGGCTGGTCAGGCTTGCGGGACACTTGGTCACACACAGTCCCGCTGCTTTGCCCGTCTGAGCGATGCCTGGCGTACCGAGTTTGGCGACGAGGCTGAGCTCCCCACCTGGCTGAGCTCCCCACCTGGCTGGAGCTCCCCATCTTTGCTTTTGACTATGATGCTATTCTCACTGCCATGTATGCATTGCCTACTGGTGCTGACCGTGCCTGTTCCCTGTGCGTACCGCCTAACCCAGGTATAGAGCCTGCTGCTCTAGGTGCTGGTGAGGCTGCTGCTCTAGGTGCTAGTGCGTCTCCTGCTCTAGGTGCTGCTGAGGCTTCTGCTCCAGGTGCTGGTGAGTCTGCTCTCTCTGGTACTACGACTGCTGAGGCCTTGTACACCTTCACACTTGACTCAGGTGCTTCCCGCTCCTTCTTTCGCGACAGCACCACCCTCACGCCGCTCCGTCGGCCGGTTGCAGTCTCCCTGGCAGACCCCTCTGGGGGTCCAGTCCTTGCGCACTCCTCCACGGTCCTGCCGTGTCCGGCGGTCCCGTCTGGCTCACTGTCGGGACTCCACCTCCCCTCGTTCTCTACGAACTTGGTGAGTGGAGCTGACCTCCAGGACGTGTGGGTTGACCAGTTCACCCCTGGAGGTCAGCGCGTGACCCACTGTACGTGCTCCCGGACGGGCCGGCACCTGGCCACGTTTACCCGTGCGCCTGGCTCGAGTCTATACACACTGACTACTGTGTCCCCTCAGGTCGCTGCGTCTGCGTCTACGTCAGGTCAGCTAGCGGCCCCCTGCTCGTGTCGCGCTTTGTCGCACCAGACCCTCCTTTGGCACCACCGCCTTGGTCACCCCTCGGTGCAGCGCCTTCGTAGCATGCACCGCCGTTTCCTTGTCTCTGGACTTCCAGAGACTCTGCCTCCTCTACCACCCTCGCCTGCTCCTCCCTGTCTTCCCTGTGTCGAGGGGCGGCAGCGCGCCGCTCCTCATTCCTCCTCGTTCCCTCCCACAGAGGCTCCCCTGCAGACTCTCCACCTGGACGTGTGGGGCCCAGCCCGCGTCCGTGGACAGGGCCACGAGCGGTACTTCCTGCTGGTCGTCGACGACTACACGCGTTACACCACGGTCTTCCCCTTGCGCAGCAAGGGGGAGGTCCCTGATGTTTTGATCCCCTGGATCCACGCTGTTCGCCTCCAGCTCCGCGAGCGGTTCCAGTCGGACTTTCCTGTCCTGCGTCTGCACTCTGACAGAGGTGGTGAGTTCTCCTCAGACCTCTTGGCAGCCTTCTGTGCGGAGCACGGCATCCGCCAGACGTTCACGCTTCCGGCCTCTCCGCAGCAGAATGGGGTTGCTGAGCGCCGCATTGGCTTAGTCATGGAGGTCGCTCGTACCTCCATGATCCATGCGGCTGCCCCCCATTTTTTGTGGCCGTTTGCGGTCCGGTACGCCGCGCATCAGCTCAACCTGGCCCCGTGTCTCCTTGCCGGAGACCTCGCCCACACTGCTGTGGATGGGGAAGGTTGGCGATGCGTCGCGTTTCCGGGTCTGGGGTGCTCGTGCCTTTGTCCGCGATACCACCGCGGACAAGCTCTCCGCCCGCGCTGTTCCCTGTGTCTTCCTTGGCTTTGTCCCTGACGCGCCTGGTTGGCAGTTTTACCACCCCACCTCGCGCCGTGTCTTCCCCTCTCAGGACGTCACCTTCGACGAGTCGGTTCCCTTTTTCTGTCTCTTCCCCTACCGCTCTGCCCCTCTCCCCCCCCCCGCCGCTCTTCCTCGCTCCAGGTGCTCCCCAGGTAGACCCCCTCCCCGCTCCCGGTCCTGCTCCTTCAGGTGTGTCTCAGGTAGACCCTCCTCCCTTGACTGAGCCGGTTGAGGTCACTTGTGACTCAGATCCTGCTGAGGGTGGTCCTGCTCGGGGTGCTGCTGCTGCGGGTGCTGAGCCTGGGGGTGCGGAGCCTTGGGGTGCTGAGCCTGGGGGTGCGGAGCCTGGAGGTGCGGAGCCTGGGGGTGCGGAGCCTGGGGGTGCGGAGACTGGTGGTGCTGAGACTGGGCGTGAGGAGTCTGGGGGTGCTGAGCCTGGGGGTACTGAGTCTGGGGGTGCTGCACCTGGGCACGCTGAGGCGTCTGGTGAGCAGTCTCCCTGGAGCGGCCGTCTCCGTAGTCGCTCCGCTGGTGCCTCGCCGCTGCACTCTCGTCGTCGTCTCCCTCTCTCCCCTCGGCAGCTGCGTGAGTGGTACGTCAGCCGTCAGGGTCGAGCTGCTGGAGCTAGGGGCCCTGCTGCGGGAGGCGCTGGAGCTGGTGACTCTGCTACTGGAGTTGTTTCTACTGGAGGCCC